GCTGATTTTCCAGCTGTTTAACTGACCATCACCAGTCACTTAATCCACTGAGCAGATTACAGATTACAGCCTGCAAACTCACAAATATGAAGCTGATCTGAGACCTGCAGCTTTTCCATCTCAGTCAGTTATTTTTCTGAGAATCAGAATCAAGAGAAGCAGAAACTGAAATAAATAATCCGACAGAGCCTTTGATCCCTGATCTGGATCAAAGTCAGTAAAATGTTCTGCAGCAAAACATCACACTGTGAACATTCTGATGTAAATTAAGATATGAGTCAGGACTGTTTTTTACCATTCCCAGTCAGTTTTTCATTTCTTATACTGATTTTGATCATATTTCAGTATTTCACTGCTCCAACAACATCACTTGATAAAATGAGGAACACTCTGGTCTGTAACATAAATCTAAAACAAACTTCTAAAGATATTTTCACACTCTCACCACAGTTAACTGTAGAACTGATCACAAAACATATTTCTAGAACTTCTGATTTCTGAAAAGCAAACTGAGTGACTTTGGTTTAACAACAACAGAATGACTTGAAATATTCCTGTTAGTTCACAGCAGTTTCAGCTGTACAGTTTTCAAATCATTAACAGAAGCTGTTCCATGTCAGAGAACAGCCACTTTCAGAACAACAATCTCTGCCCTTGCTCAGGTGAACAACTAAAGCTGCAGCTCAGTTTTTCTCCATCCAGACTTCTGCTGTGAATCCGACACAAACTGATTTTTAGGTTTGCCTTGTCCAAGACAGCTGATAAAAACTGAAAAATGAGAGAAGAGGGTGTTCCTTCTCACAGTTCCAGAAACTCACATCTCCTGAATGTTTCATCAGACATCAGAAACTTGGATTAATTTCAGTGCAGCAGAGGTTCAGTTTGGAAGCTTTGCTAGATCCAGTTATTATCAGTATACAGGCTTAATAAGGAAACGTAAAACTCTTACTTACTGGAGGTTTGACTGAAGTTTCATGGTGCACAAAATGCAAAAATAAAAATTTAAATGTTTCAGTTTCTGCTTCCAGGATCAAATCTTCCTGCAGCAGTTTCGTGTTACATTCAATAATAAAAGTAGAACTAAACTTTTTACATTATTAACAATGCTAGAGTTTATGGGCTGATAATAGAACACTGAAAAAAGCCCAGTGATGGTAAGATATATGCATTTATCTTTTCACACACACCTTTCAGACTGTGAACTGATGAATAATCAGCTAATTACCATCCTGATCAGGTGACAAACACAGACTCTGACTTATCAGCTTGGCTGATTCCCTGATCACCTGATTTTTATATTGGTTGATTAAATTAACTGGTTGATCAAACAGAAAATGAGTGATTAATCAGAGGAAATCTGCCTCCTTTAATGTTTTACTGTGATTCTGTTTTAATAAACTGATTCTGTTTGTTTCACTAAACTCTGACTTTTAGGAAATTTCGTAATCGTGTTTGTTGAACTTTACATTTTAATGTTTTTCAGATTTTCTTGGCGAAATTGTAAATCACAGTTATAAAGTGATTTCTTTCATTCAAGTTGTGTTTTATTCAGTCCGTTTCCATGTTAGCAGTCAGCTGTTACACACCTGTCCGACAGCTAACACCTGATACAAAGTCAAGGGTCCGAACACAAACTGAACTGAAGCTACAAGCGCTTTAATCCTCTTATTCAGGCGGTGTTAGCTTAGCACAAAGCTAACTTAGAAACACGCAGCGCACCGTTAGCCAGCGTTAGCATTAGCACATAGTGAGAGTGCTAAAGTGAAACAGACTGTTAGCTTCTTTAGCTGCAGCCCCTGTCAGTAGTAGCGGAGAAGCTAACGGTTAGCTCGCATTACACATGATCATCCAACGGTGGTTAAAAATCACTATAAGACAGTTTTGAAAGAATCACAGTTCAGTGAAGATCTTTCTAAAATACTCCAAAAAATGTTTGATCAATCGGATTAAAATAATTTTGTTCACTGAATAATAAACAAGACTTTTTATTGGTTTTCTGAAGTTGACTGTCAGAATAGAGTCTGCAGTAGCCGCTGGGCCGCCAGCTTTGTTATGGTTCAGAAACAAGTTAAAAACCTTCAATAAAAGACATTTTAGAGAAGATCTATTACCATCCAGATGTTCAGAAAGGTCTCTGAAGAGTACAGAGAGATTTTCAGAACAGCTGGAATAGATTAAGACGAGCTTCACTGTTTAAAACAGCGAAGCTTCATGAACTTCTGCAAATATTAACTGTTAGCTCCATGACTGCTGCTAACATGAGAAACACGGTTCATCCGCTGCGGGTTAAAACGGAGTCAGTCAGACAGTTACTTTGTCAGGTAATCAGACACAGTGTTAACCAGCTAACTAACTATTAGCAGCGTTAGCTTCCACCTCCAGGGAGAGTTAATCCACAAACACAAACACGGTTAGCATTAGCCAGCGGAACCAAGCCAACTGTTGCCCCTCAGCTGTTTATAAAGCGGCATGCTAAGCTAACATTAGCACAGGTAAGGGCTCCAGGTGCAGTGACAGGTTCAGGTCCGTCTGCCTCACCTGTTTACGGTTTAGCGGCTCTGAAATGATGTTTTATGTGCAGTTTGTCTCCTCCATTGATTCTGTCGGGTCTTCATCTCAGCTACCAGCCGGCAGGCGGCGCTGCTTCTACTTCAGCTTCTGCTCCTTCTGTCAGCACACGACTTCCGCTGCAGCGCTGCCACCTACCGGAGGGGCGGAGTCACAGCGTCACCTTCTGCACGTGGTTCACAGTTATTATCCATCCATTATTATTATCCATCCATCCATCCATTATCTATACACCGGTATATTATTATACTATATATCGTTGAAACCTGAAGTTTACATACACTGTAAAAAAAAAAAAAAAACGATACATATCCAATACTTTTCCCCTCACTGTCTGACATTAAATGTGACTAAACCTTTCCTGGTTTAAGTCAGTTAACGTCACCAAAATTATTTCTATTTGCTAAACACCAGAAGAGTGAGAGAGAACATTTTCTTTGAGACTTTTTAAAAATACTTTCATCAAAGTCAGAAGTTTACATACATTTCCTTAGTATTTGGCAGCATTGCCTTTAAACTGTATGACTTGGGTCGAGTGTTTTGGGTTTCCTTCCACAAGCTTCTCACAATAGTTTGATGAATTCTGGCCCATTCCTCCTGACAGAACTGGTAGAACTGAGTCAGGTTTGTTGGTCTCCTTCCTCCACACGCCTTTCCAGCTCTGCCCACAAATTTTCTGGATTGAGATCAGGGCTTTGTGATGACAACTCCAAAACACTGATTTTGTTGTCCTGAAGCCTCTTTGTAAATAATTTGGCAGCATGCTTCGGGTCATTGTCCAATTGGAAGACCCATTTGCGCCCATTTGGACTTTTTTAAACAAACATTTGACTCTTGGTGAAACAGGGCCGACAGATAAAGTCTATGTACAGTGTTTAACAAAGTTATTAGACCACCTGTCATAAAAACGAGGCAACATAAATATGCTAGAAAGCTTTCAAAAACTTGTTGAAAACTAAAAATGTCATTGTTACGTATCTGGCAAAGAACAAACGGAAGCAACTAAATAGTCCTTTTTCACACACAGCAAAGAACCTGATCTTTTGTTTGGTCTCCTTTGGCCTTGATAACAGCTGGCATTGTTTTATGTGCTTATCAACAGTCTATTTGGTTATCGAGTTCCAAATAGTTTCTAGGTGTTCCCACAGACTAGCTTTAGATGAAACCTTTGTGTGATCAATATTTGAATGTACTACATCCCAAATTTGTTCACTATTTGTTCCTGCTCCATAAATATAAAACCTGCCTATTTTATATGGTTTGAAGTGTTTTTAGAGCTCTTTCGTGTTGACCAAGTCCTCTGTCTGGATCATTTAGATTAACCACGTTATTCGTGGTATTTGTCTGCAGTTTTACAAGAAGAAAATGTTTTAATGTACAGACAGTTATAGTTAATGTTGACTATAGTGGAAACACAATATAAATACAGCTTGTTTTAGGAAAGTCTGGTTACAGTATTAAACAGTAAAGTTCAGACTCAACTGTAGAGTCTGTGATCAGTTTTGCAAGAATTAACAGATGAAGCAAAACATAACAGTAAGAAAATAAAAATTACACTAAAATCCCAAATAACCACAGCTGCAGGTATTTTAATGCCATTTTACAGAAACGTTAGTTTCAGTGTAAAAGCTCTTTGAGAGAACAGAATCATAATAAAACTTTTGTTTCTCAGAGACCTTTTTCCTGTTGCAGTGATGAAGTGTCGATGAATTAAAAATAAATCTTATTAATCTAGTGTGAAGTTACAAACTCTAAACTCTATTGGAATTCATACTATCATTATTACAGTTGTCCATCGGTGGGCTGCTATAGAGCGGAGTTTGAACCTGAAAGAAGGACATTCGAGGCCTGTAAACTGGTGGCCTTGTAACGTATGACCTTGAGACAAAGGTCAAGGTCTCACTGAAGGCCTTGAATCATCACAAATTTTAAATCCATTATAATGTTGAAAAGGTGTAAGATAAACACATAGCTTCTTATTAAAATCAGATAAGAACCCATATTGGTGATGTGACATTTGACCTTGGATCAAAGGTCATGGTCAAACTCAAGGTCATAAATCTTACGTGCTTCACTGAGGTGTAAATTACAGCAAATCGCTTTCCCTTCATGCAAAATATCTGATACATAATAGCCTAAGCTCTTGTTACATTATGTACCAATTTAAGGCAAAATCAAGGCAAGTTCTTCCTCAAGTAGTTGCACAGTGACACACAGAATCAGGTAAACACGCATACATTGGGCAACTATGTCCCTCTACTGTGGACTCTCTAGCTTCATTATTATTGTTTATTAATTATTTTTATATAATGATGTCATTGAATCAGCAGCAGAAAGCTAAGTCTCAGACTGACGACCGATTGGTCTGCTTGTTACTTGAAACACACCAGAACAGTCAGAAATCTGCTGGAAAAATGACACAAACACTGAAAGAAGATTTAATTTTCATTTTAATATGAAATTACAATTTTATGAAGAGAGAAAACAAAATCAACAAAAAAAGTGTATCTAAACATAAACTGATGTCGTGAATCAAGACTCAACAGATTTAACAGACATGAACAAATGTTTATATGCACTTGTGAAGATGATGTATATCAAGACAGTAGTAAGTTCCAGTGATTTCTAGGATGGAACCATTAAAACGCATGAATCTAGGCTAATCAGTCAGCGTGATTGGTTTTAACTGATCAAGAGAATTCATTCTGAGAATCTGATTAATGAAAACCACAACTGGTCTATTCACCTGAAGATTTGTTATTTTATTTAATGAAAACTCTGTTTCATGTTTGTTTCTTGCAGAGAACAGCAGCAGAGATTTCTGCCTGCAGCGCCCCCTGCTGTGTGGAGGCCGCGATTATCAGCAGCTCATCAGCCACAAATATGTAAAATCTGAGTTTCTAACACATCAGGTTGTAAGTGCTGCTGTTGTTTTTGATCACTAAAACATTATTCAACAGTCTTTGATTTTATTATAGGACATTCAAAAAGTTTTTCCACATTTACTTTTAGCAAAAATCATTTAAGAGCAACAATAAGGAAAAAAAAATCCAGGTTATTTAATGTATTTGTAGTTAATGCCCTTTATTCTCATTCAGAGATCTAAATCCTGTAATTTGTGTTTCTACTGTTAGTGTTTGAAAAAAGGAATGTAAAATCAGCTGGTACAAGACATAAAAGAATTTCTTCTTCGTAAAATAATTACAGTTTTTCAATATTTTTTATTCTCACACTGTGTATTCAAATGCATTTCGGTTGTTTGTTCTCATATATATTTTTGCGCCGTGAAATTGGAAGTAAAGTTGCTTTACTGTTTGAAGCTCAAATCAGAAATGGACAGAAACAGTTTTTACTTTTTGTTCAGTTTTTTGTAACCTCATTATGATTTGTTCTGAATATTATGATTCAAACAGATTTTTATTTTGCAGATTTGCTGTATTTGTGTTTGTAAAGGAGCCTGAAGATGAAATAAAAGCTGAAAATGGAGAGATGAAGTAAAAAGCAGCAGCTGAAGCTTCTTATTCACAGCCAGATGTCGGAGGTACAGTCTCCGCCTGGATATCTGAGCTCGTGGGCCAGAACCGGACCGTCAGGTTCTTTGCCGAAATCCACTAGAAAGTCCTCATTCAGGGAGAGGCCGCCATTGACAGTGTCCACATCAATCTGCATCATCACCGAACCTTCTCTGAACAAACACAGAAACAGAAAGAACATCAGTACACAGGATGTACACTGGTTTCAACTGATCACAAGTATGTGGACACTCATAGCACCAAGTGTACAGCAGTACTGTCCACATACTTTAATATGAAACACAAAAAACTGGAACTGGAACAGGACAACCACAGAACCTCTGGACCCCTCTGTGTCCGAGACCCTGCAGGCTCCCGAGTCAGTACCTGATCATGTCGGGGTAAAACTGTTTGTCCCAACCGCTGAACAGAGATGTTGTCACATAAAGTCTGCGACCGTCCAAACTGAGCTGCAACATCTGAGGACTTCCAGGGATGCGCTTCCCCTGAGAGACAGACAAGTGAGAGACAGTAAGGTGAGAGAGACAGGTGACAGGGAAACAGATGAAAGAGACTGACAGGTGGACTACCTCCTGGCTCTGTTACCTGGATGATGCGTGGCGGGGGCTGCGGCTGGTTCTCTGGATCCTCCAGGACTCTGACTGGTCCGTCATTGACAAGACTTCCTCCCAGAAACACCTGGAACAGACAGACAGGTGAGCTGTCTCTCTCTGAGGTGTGACCTGTTCGATTTATTCATTATCAGACAGGTGAATCAAAGTCAGACCTGGCCGACTAATCGAGGTTTCCTCCGGTCTGAGATGTCATACTGTCTGATGTCACCATGCAGCCAGTTACTGAAGTAGAGAAAACGGTCGTCCAATGAGAGCAGGATGTCTGTGATGAGACCTGTGCGGACAGGCAGTTGGCAGGTGAGATGGGCAAGACAGACAGGTAATAGACAGATGACAGGTGAGACAGACGGTTGACAGGTAACAAAAGAGAATGAGCGGTGACAGATAAGATAGACAGGTGTCAGGTGAATCAGACAGGTAATAGACAGGTGAGACTGACTTACTCGGCATCTCTGGCAGCATCCATCCCTCCACCTTCTTGCTGGGAACACTGATGACTTTCTCTGCAGCCCAGTCACCTTTCTGAGACACAGACATCACACTGAGATGTGCTAACAGGGGAGCTAAAGGCTAACATCAACATGCTAACATACAGCAGCCATGTTTACAAAAGGGTTGAAGGCTAACACTGGCACAATAGCAGACAAGCTAAAGGCTAATATTAGCATGATAACACACCATACTGGGGCTGTAGCCAGAGTAACAGAGAAGCTAAAGGCTAACATCAGTATGCTAGCATGCTCACAGTGCCAACATGCTGGTGTTCAGCAGCTACAATGTTTACTACATTCATCATCTTAGTGTTAGCATGCTACCATTAGCTAATTAGCAGTAAACACTGTAAAAACAGAATGCCTGCACACCATCAGCAGCAGCAATGAATGATTTGAAGTTTTGTTGTTGGAGACAGTTTGATTAATTGATTGATTTGTTTATAGAGACAAGATACTTTCTTCAATTGGTTCTTTACTGTTAGAGACCTGCTTCAGTCAGAGTTTTAATGAGAACAGATATGATATCCAAGCTTTAATTTTACTGCACCTTCATCACAAGGAAAGAAGTGATCACTGCTTGACTCTTAACATGTAGAGTGTAAGAACAACACAGGTCATCAGAGCCCTGCAGTACTGACTGGTGTTTTGTAGAACCGGAAGACGGTTCCCTTCAGAGCACATCCCACATATCCCTCGGTGGCACTTGGCTCGTGCAGGAACCGGACCTCCAGAGGAATGGCGCCGTCTTCACCCAGCTCCAGTGTCTGCAGCTTCCTGTGGGTGGTCCAGTCCCAAACATGGAGGGAACTGCCGTAGAGGCCTGAACACAGAACCAGAGAACTCAGATGAAGTTCTCAGATTTCACCCTAAGGGTACCAGCTGGAACCCTGCTGGGATCAGAACCTTTCTCACCTTCTTTAACGTGAGCAAGGTTAAATCCGTTGACCAGAGCTTTGGGCGCCCCCCACTCAGTGCTGATCATCACGTTGTGTCTTGGCTGGTACCAAAAGTCATAACCGAATGGCGCCGCCTCCCCCGGGTGCTCCCAGTTACCAATAACTTCGAACGTCTCGCCATCCAGCAGAACAAACCCACCTGAGAACACGATGGTTCATTAGAATGTCTGCAAGCGCTGGGACCAAAGAGGTATACTAGGAAGCAAGTTTGACATAGCCAGGCTTTCTATGTGTAAGTCAGCTCGACAAAAACTAAAGCTCCAGTCAGAGATCACCAGTATAACGAAGGTGTTCATCAACTTTCTTTGTCAACTCAGACTTTCTGCTTCAGACTCTATGCCTTCACATAAAAGGAAGCGTATAATGTGTCATGTAACTCTTCTTCTGCACAAAATGAAACAATCATGTGCAGCTGCTTCAGTCAACAAGTTGTTGCGATAGAGAACCCATGACAACATGATAAATAATCCACAGCTTCATTCAGTGATATTAGTAACGTACAGCTCAACATGTTTGCAGATAAAACACATTCCCTCAGCTCAGAATCAGTACGGTTCATAAAGAATCATCAGGAAACGGTTTGGATAAAGGGAGACGCTTCTTCCAGCCGATTTAAACCTAAAACTCTGAACATAACCTGGTCCCAACCAGGCTAGCAACATCAGTTGCCATGGATATCTAGCAGGTGAAAAGAGAACCACCTTCATGACGCTGAAAACTCTGACTTTATGCTCAACGTACCTCGCTGACCCACTAATCTCACTTTGTAGTACAGCCCTTAGGTGTGTTTGTGGTGTTGTTGTTCTACAGATGTGTTTGTGTTTTTATGTTGTTGCTTGTGTTGTTGTGTTACCTTTGCCGTTCCCATCTGGGTCTCCCATACAGCTGATCATGATCTGACCGCTGCCCAGACAGTGGCTGGTGTGAGGATTTGCCAGACCGCACTTCCAGAACAGATCGACCGGCTCCACCATCTGAACGCACAACAGTGACACAAAATGAAAACAACAACAGGACAACAGTAACACAGCAACAGTAACACAATAATAGGACAACAGTAACAAAACAGCAACACACCAAGAAGACAACAACATAACAATGAGACAACAACAATGCAGCAAGACACAAATTAACACAATTGGACGATGACAACAACAACAACAACAACAACAACAACAACAACAACAACAACAACAACAGAACAGGTCTTGGTGGAACAAGAACTCTTACTTCTGTGTTACTGACTTGAATTTTTCTTGAATATTAACCTGGTGGTTCTAGGTAATAGAATCACCAGGTTCTGATAGTTCTGCCTGGACACTTGCTGAGATCAGAAGCTGAGATTTGTGTTTTCTAACTTTGTGTTTCATCTTCCAGTCTGAAAGACGTTCTTCACTGCAGGAAACTGAAGGCCGTTTCAAGGAAACCCAAACTTTGTTCCGATTACACAACCCATCCCTGTAGAACTTCCATCATGGGACATGAAGTTCCCAGTCCAGGGTAGCAGCTGGCTCAGACATATTAGTGCTGTGATTAATTCCTAGCCTGCTGATCCAACACATTCTTGGTGTTTCACATGAACAGTCATATATCTGTCAGCTAAGTGTTCTTCAGTCTAACCTCAGGATGAACCTCCTCCCTGTTTTTATTCACTCTGTACAACTCAGTTCTGGTACTTACTGAACCCAAAGAAGTCAGATTTATAACAGCTGCTCCTTTCACACTGCAGAAACATAAAAAACTCTGATACAACCAGTGAGAAATGTGTTTGTTTCCAGGAAAAAATCCAACAAGTTCAGCAATAATGACAGGCTGTTATTAAACTGTGTAAACTGTCTGTAATGCTTCAGCAACAAATTCAGAAATTCAAGGTAAAAATGTTATGAACTGGATTGTCGGAATCAGGTCAGTGACTGTGGTCACTTTAGATTCTCCTCCATCAGCATCATAAATTCATCCTGCAGCATAACAACCAAAGCAAACTAAAACAAAAAGGTATAAAACTAGTCTAAAACTAGTCTAAAACCAGTCCAAAATTAGCCCCAAAATCATGTCCGAAACCAGTCAGAAACTGATCCAATACAGGTCTAGAACAAGCCCTAACATGAGCCTAAAACCAGAATCTTGATCTCAACATCATGGGTCCAGTCTAAGACAGACTGAATCCACAGAAGAACGGCAGTAAGTCTTCCAAGATGCTATTCTAGTATAAACCCAGAGTAAAACTAACCCGACCTAAAACCAGTACAAAGTTAAAACCCTGAAGTCAAAATCAGGAATTTTGTGAATTGCAGGTACACACAGACTCAGAGCCCACAGGTGGATGTTGGGGTGAAGATGGGGTCATGGGCAGCCTCAGAGCTGCAGTAAATCATTAGGTGTGTTAGATTTGTCTTTCAGTGAGAGCAGCAGGTCATTTGGGTGCAGTGATGGACTCACTGCCTGAACATGGGTTTAGACTTTGCTTTACTTCTGCAGAACAGCGTCAGTAAAACCTGAAGGTACCTTGTGGATTTTGGGCGCTCTTGGATTCGTCCCTACGTCGACCACGTAGACTCTGGAGGAGATCAGTGATGGCAGAATCAGACGATTTCGTGACTTGGAGGCATCTCCGAAGCAGCTGCTGCAGGCGTTCCAGCCAGAGTGATGCAGCTCGTCACGAAGGTTGGGCATCGGCAGCCGGTGGATCACCTATAACAACGTGCTCATGTTTATACAGGTACGGACAGAAAAACAAGAACATGTGGATCTGATTGATTCATAAATTGATTAAAGAAAACAGCTACAGACAAAGATTCAAAGGATAAAGACAGAGACAACAAACACCTGAAGGAGGAAGAAGAAGAGAAGGAAATGAAGCAGCAGCAGGAGAAACCTGATGAAGAACAAAAGATGTTTGTTATCAAACAGCTAAATTATTCAGATGAAAAACCAGTCTAAAACAACTCCTAAACTAATCTTAAACCAGTCTTAAATAGGCCCAAAAACCAGTCTACAACAAGTCCAAAAATTGTCTAAAACAACGTCTAAGCCTATCTAAAACCAATCTAAAAGCAGTCCAAAACCAATGTAAAATCAGTCTAAAACTAGCCCTCAAACCAGTCTACAAGTTTAACACCAAGTCCAAAATCAGTCTGCACATCTTAAAACCAGTCTGAAACCAGGTGAAAATCCAGTCGATAAACAGTCCTAAAACCAGCCCTAAAACTACTCTAAAATCTAATCCCTAAAACAGTCCAAAATCAGGTCCTAAACTGGCACTAAAACCAGTCCAACACCGGTCTAAAACCAGTCCTAAGACCAGTCCAAAACAAGTTCTAAACCACTTTAAAATCATCCTGTTATAAAAATTTAGTGTTATATGTGATGATTCAATGCTCTTTGTCCACTGTTGACGTACAGAAGGCTGTGAAAGATACTGTGCACAGAACTTGCAAAGAAATAACCAAGTCTGCACTATGTGCCTTGGTGGATGAAGAGCATCAGCAGATGTGAGCAGAGGAGAAATCTTTGGTATGTCTGTATAAATGCTACATTTCTTGACTCTGATGTCACTTGTTCTGTGCTGATTTGGAGCAGTTAGGACACCACTGAAGAATTTTCCAACCAAATCCCTAAACCAGTCCAAAACCACTCTAAAAACAGTCCAAAACCAATGTAAAATCTGTCAAAAACTAGCCCTAAAACCAGTCCAAAATCAGATCCTAAAGCGGCCCCTAAACCAGCCGACGCCTGTCTAAAACCTGTCAAAAACCCGTCCTAAAACTGGCCCTAAAACCAGTCTAAACCAGCACAGAACCAAAGCTGGACGACAGACGATACAGACTGGTTCGAGTCTACCTGGCTGTAGGTTGGTGACTTTGGGTCGACGTCAACAGTGGCCAGATAGTCGGGTTTCAGGACATCGGTGCCGCGGTAGATGCAGGGCAAGTAGACAATCTCCTCCCGAGGACCTGCAACCAGGACGACAGACAAACCCAGAGAACATGTTGGTTCTTTAAAGGGACACCAAATGGAGCTGAGCAGTCATTAATACTTCTGTTGTTCCCTTTGTGTGGTTTGTTATCTGCTCCTAAACATGTCTGGAAAGCATCTTGAAAGCAGGGGAAAGGCTGAACATTTACATGAAATAAACATACATGTGACATGACTGTGTTCAATGTGGAGTCAGAGGTGATGAAGAGAAGCGGCTTGTTGAATAAAACTACATTTTGACAGTAATGCTGAGAGGACCTGAACTGCAGATGTGAATTATTAGTTTTAAAAGGTTGCAGTCATTTTATTGGATTCATTTAACTCTGGCTGGTTTCCAAGATGTAATATTTTCTAAGATGATATAAAAACTTGATTCATGTTGCCGCGTTCTGTTGGTCAGGTGATTAGTTACTGATATCACAGATAACTGAGGAGGAGGAAGTGATAAGCCTGCTTTCAGAAGATCAGAACAGTGAAACATGGTCAGTTCAGGGATGGAAAGATATGGGCTGTAAAATCTGTCCTCAGGCTGAACTTAAACTTCAGTTAAACCAGGTCTACAATAGGTTTAGGTTCAACCTAGTTTGCAGTAGGCTTGAGTGAAACTGGGTCGGCAGCACGTTTACCTTAAACCAGTTTACCACTGCAGTGGGGTTTCAGTGATCATGTGACTCTGAGACGAGTTTTCTGGTCCGATAAAGTTCTCTTAATTGAACTGATGATGCCACTCACCCTTCATGGCGTCCAGCGGACTGCGGTATCCTGGTCCACATCCTGAACAGCTGGCTGGGGAACAACAGAGATCAACCTCCATCACAAACCTCTAACATGTAGACATGAAGCGCCTAAAACCCCCTAAAGAAAAGTCCTCACTGAGACAATAAACATAGTCAGGAGTCCTTCAATCTTGATGTCACCTTTGACCCTCAGAAATATTCTGATATTCTGCTTCAAGCTAAATGCTAGATGTTCAGCAGGTCGCTGCAAAAGGCTGAGCAGAGACTGATGTGGGTTTGGTTACAGTGACTGTGTGCTACATAACTACAAAGATACACCAAACAACCACAAGGAGACACCAAACACCTAAAAAGACAAACCAAACAACTACCAAGAGACACAAAACAAACACAAAGAACACAAAACCACCAGTCAGAGGTCATTGTCGCTGCCACAGTTAGAAATTCAATTTTCAATTCAATTCAATTTTATTTGTATAGCGCATATTTACAACAACAAGTCATCTCATAGCGCTTCACAAAGGCAGAGACAGAAACACCCAACAACCCAAAACATTTGGATTCCCTATAAGCTTCAGCAGTCCGCAAGCAGTCCGCAACAGTGGGAAGGAACCGAAAACCCCCACAGGGGAAAAAAAACCTCCAACAGAACCAGGCTCAGGGAGGGACGGCCATCTGCCTCGACCGGTTGGTGGAAACTCAATTTTATTCACTTTGTTAGTTAACCACCAGTTACAGACTTTAACACCAGCTGCTGGTTTCTGTGTTCTTTCCAGATGTTTTGTGAAATTGAGTCCAGATCATATGCCCAAAATCCAGTCTGGACTCTTTATTCTACAAATGGGGGACTGAAGTCCACAAACACCAAAGCAGTTCAAGACCAATAGGGATTCATTAAGTGACAGAAACACATTCAGCGTTATGTCACACACACACACAAACACACACACATACACACACACACACACACACACACGCACATTTTGCAGTTTAAAGGGTTTTTCTGTTGATCATTGTTGATCTCTCAGTTTTACAGCTGCAATAATCAATAATATTAATAACCAGAAAGGACTCTGATCAACTGTCGTTTAAAACTTTCATCAATAATCTGCAGAATAATAAATACTAAGGACAGATTGACCCTGCTGCTACTTTAAAAAGCAGCTTAAACCTGACAAATCTGTATTCACTTTGTGCAAACAGCCTTTAAAATTTGACGGAATGCAGCTTCGTTAGTCCTGAGCAGCACAGAGGCAGCAGCTACGCAGTGGACAAAAGTGGACAACAAAAAAACAGCACAAAGGTCAGTAAGAAACAAGCTAAGAGCTGCAGCTCTGCTCAGTCAGACTCCAGAAAAACATCAGATTTAAGCAGCGAGTTGTTTCAATCTCACTATCCTGAGTTAACTCTGTGAAAACAGCCTGTAAAATGGATGGAGTTTAGCTGCAGTTTAAATCTCACTAACTGTAATACAGTTTGTGCAAACAGCCAGGAAATTCAAATGGATTGCAGCTTCAGTAGTCTTTAGTTGTAGCTCTGCCCAACCAGAGTCCATCCGAAAAACATCCGATTTAAGCAGCAAGTTGCTTAACTCTCACTATCATGAGTTTACTCTGTGCAAACATCCTGTAAAATGTGACGGAATGCAGCTTCATTAGTCCAATCTGCACAGTGGACAGCAAGACACAGAACAAAGGTCAGTAACAGCCTGAGAGCTGCAGCTCTGACCAACCAGACTCCATAAGAAAAATGTCAGATGTAGGCAGAAGATTGTTTAAATCTCACCAACTTGGTTTTCTTTCTTTCTGTATTTGTGTGTGTGTGTGTGTGTGTGTGTGTATGTGTGTGTGCGTGTGTGCGCGTGTGCAAACAGCATGTAAAATGTGACAAACTACAGAAAGGCAGCAGCTGCTCAGGAGTGGACGGCAGAAAACAGAACAAAGGTCAGAACTAACAAACCACCTGCCTGAGAGCTGCAGCTCTGCCCAACCAAAGTCTATGAGAAAAATATCAGATTTAAGCAGCTGGGATGCAGTGCAATTGCAACAGTGATGCAGAGATAAACTCACCCATGTCTGCACTGCTGGTCCGATCCTGCAGGTCTGGACTCCCTCAGACCAGATCCACTGAGAGAACACCAGGGGAAGGCGCTTCAAAGGCTGTTTGTGAGTGACCAGCCAATCAGAGGGGAGGGGTGGGCCTCCATGTTAACCCTGATTTACTATCAGGCCTGAACAGCAACATGTTTCTGACTGAACTCACCTGCAGCTGGTGTTATAACAGGGTCAGAACAGGGTCCATGGGAGCTGCAGGTGGATGAGGGGCCAAAAAGAGATCAAAGCATCCAGGCCAGTGTCTGTATAAAATGTTTAGCAGTTAATTCAGTGACCAGAAAGACATAGAAAACCAGCAGAGATGCTTAAGCACCTCATGCTGAGCTAAGGGTTCTGGGCCTCCGGTTGGAATAACATCAACCTTCCTGTTGGAGGCTCGAAGTTTCCTCTGAATCACTGACTAAAGTAAAACCAGGACCAGTAGCTGTGATGAACTCAAACACCTGATGTTGCCTTTAGTTTCTAATCTCAGTCTCTCAGCAGATACAGATCAGTGTAATAAATAATGGAATATACTTTATGTACCAGATGTTAATGATAAACTTTAATGAGTTCTATGTTGTCTTTTTTTTAGAAGCAATGTTTACAATTATTCATACCCTTGAAATTCTTTTATTTATTTATTTATTTTTTTCTGTCACTTGTTTCTGTCATTTCCAGCCAGAAGAAATCTGTTGGTCAAATAAGAACTCGCTATAAATCTGAATATATCTGTGAAAGTGCTAGCTGTGCTTGAACAGTGTTGTGGTTCCAGCAGAGATGTCTGTTTTGAAGCTGATAGGAATCTTCAACAGCTCAGAGGACAATCTCCGACTGGTCAGCCAAAGTTCACAGGAAACTTCAGTTACACAATGAATAGAGGTCAGATCAGCAGCACAAACACTGTTTCTACTGCAGCCGCAACTGATCAGCCTCTAATGATTCATTATTCTGATCATCAATTCATCAGCTTGAGTTATTTTTTTAAATACAACAGTCTGAACTTTGTGATTGAAGCTTCTTCATTTGAATGTTTTCTGGTTTCTTTCATCCTGTATGACAGTAAATTTGAATATCTTTATATCCACACTGATCCACATTTTTCACCATTTTAAATCTCAAACAACTGATTGATTCATCCAGAAAATAATCCACAGATTAATCAGCCGTTGTTTAGCTGTTTAGTTTCAGTTCTGCAGTTTGACTCTCGCTGTGGTTTGTTTGCAGTGACATGATTTTTGCATGAATTCAAGAGAAACTATTATTAAATCTAAATTTTTGTTGCGCCTCAGGGAACAACTTAAGATTATTTTCATTAGTGATTAATTTGTTAATTATTTTTGACTCTAAAATGTCACAGGACGGTGAAAATGTCCATCAGGGTGTCTCAAAGATGATAAAAGCCTGTTTAGTTCGATCAACAGTCAGAAAGTCAGTGAACCATAAGAGCTGCAAACATTAGAACATTAGACATACATGAGATTTTCAGAAATTTACTAGAAAAGGACCCACGTGAAGTTTCACATTTATTTCTGAGGAGTATGATGTTTCTGTCAAACACAACATCTGTACAGTTACAACATTCATCATCATCAATGGTCCAGACCGGCCAATCAGCATCCAGATCTGATTCATAATTTTCCTGTAATGTAAAGTTTCCCTGTGATGGTAAAGTAACTTGTTGTAATGTAAACTGTTTCAGACATTTAATTAATTAGTTGAATTGAATAAATTAAAATTCACACTCACCTTTGTCTGCTCTGTGGGTGAACCTACAGATACCAACATGATGTCGTGAAACTGGATCCAAAACAGATTCTATTTTATTGTAATAACATTTCAGTTTTCGTATTATTGTAATAAATTTATTGCAACGACCCCCTTTGTGTTTGTACTGAGGTTAACTTCCTTCTTAGTTCTGTAGAATAAACTTATTTTAGTCTCTCCTCCTTTGTTCAGCCTTTAGTTAGGTGGTAATCAACCGTGGATGAGCCCAAAATGTATGACTGTGATGGAATATTCTAATTAAATGCATGTAATGGTCACATAACGGACTACAAGTAACCTTCAGGTGACCTCTGTGCAGAACTTGGAGGGAATGAATCCTCGTCATTATGAGAAAACACTCTTGATGCTTTCTTGTGGAGGCAGTGTGATTCTCAGACATGCTGTTCTTGCTTCCACCTCCGAATAACAGAAATCTTTAAAGAATTTGTGGACCTGATTGTATAGAATATTTGATGTATTTCCTGGAGGCTCTGTGCAGCTCATTCACAGACAGAGTGTATGTGAGTCTACAGAGGATGAATTAAACCTCTAGAAAGACAAACCTATTGTCAGCAGGATCATGAAGGACGTCTGGGATGAAACCCAAACCAGTTTAAAAGATGATTGCCTGAATATCCAAGAAATGTTTCTGCTTTTACTTATTCTTTTAAATAACACACTAATGCTTTTAATTTAAAATATTTCTCTACATTTTAAAATTCACTAAAAGGAGATTTGATAGTTTTGAATAAGTCTTGTGTGTTTTTTTTTTTTCTTTAATAGGGAAAAATGGTGGCAAATCAAAACAAGAAATGTCCACATGTTTATAATGTGCCAAACTCTCTGAATGTTCAATATATAATTATCAGTAATGTTAAAAAAAAAAAAAAGATGTTGAATAACTTTACATCTGCATAATGAGTTTGGTTTGGTTATTGTGAAACAATGACAAGCTTTGAGAGCTGGATTGGAAGAAAAGCAGAGAATAGGAGGAAGACAAAGGTGTTCGAGGCAGACTGGATTCATATTTCCTGTGGTTGGAAGAAGCAGCTTAACTATAACCTGGTCTCAGTGCTTAAACTGGATCCTGATCCGGATTCGGCTCCACTGAGGAGACAACATAGCAAACGTGGTCATCATCCACCAGAACCACTCGATGGACTTGACCACAAGAAGAGAGGTAGAAGGAGTTCAGTGTAGTTCAGTGATGCCAGAATAAGTTTCACAACAGCTACAAGCTTTTTGTCAGCACTTTAAACCACTTCTGAACCGCAACATTCTCATGATTCAGAGGGAGACCAACTGGACCAAAATGTCTGGAAACTTTTCAACAACTGACTGACCTCAGTGGACTGAGGTGATGAAGACAATGTGCAGTACAAAAAGGATAAAAGACACTTTATCATCAAGACTGGATATTTATTTTATCAGCATGCAGCCTCACCAGACTGACTAATATCCACAGTATATGTATCGAGGTACCACAGAATGCATCAGAGTGGGAAATTCACCAGCAAGATGCTTCATGAAGTCAGAGATCTATGTGATCGATTAAAAATAACAGGAAGAAGCAACGGTGAGTGAAACATGAAACTTGCTTCATACGTAGAAAAGTGGGACACCGAGAGAAAAACTGTCGGAAAGCCAGACACCACAAAGAGAATCAGGTGGACTGGAGCCCAGAACGGATAAAACCATGAGGTTTAACACAGAGACCAATGATCATCTTCCACCTAGAGCACCTGAGAGCCACACCCACATACTGACCTCACACAGGTGTATTGCAAAAAGTTTTCAAATCTTATAAATGCAGCCAGATCTGCGAGCTTCTCACTGGAAATACGTGAAAACTGACCAACACACCAACACTTAATGACATCAGTGAGATTCCTGATTTGAAAACAAATTCCACCTAAAAAACTAGTATGATGTTAGTCTAGTTAAAGGAGGAAAACCAGTTGTTTTAACAAACAATCCCCGATCAGGCTAAAATCAATATCCATTTAAAAAAGAAGCAGATAAAGGCATAAAAGCAGTTTTCTCTCCCTAAAGCTGCAGGGATTATTTAATGTGAAAAAGTGAAAACATCAGAGATGCTGACCAGCTGAATGAATGGAGGTTTGTAGATAAGTTAATGCTGCTGTACCGACCGTGTAGAAATGCTCCAAACCAACAAAAAATCCTGTCACCAGTTCCAGGTGACAGCCAGTGTTTACAGATGATGATGTCTCTCATTCCTCAGACTGGATTCTATTTTTCCAAGATGATGATAATTATGTATGTACCACTTACTTTACTTATTCTTATCTTAATATTTACTTTACCAAACCATATCTGATTAGTGTGTATTATTAATAATCTTAGTCTGATACTAATTATGTTCTCATTTAACATATACTCGTACAATAGTTCGATTTTGATTTTGTGTTTACATTAAGAGCTTTAAGCACTCACAAAGAGGGGGTGTGATAGAAATGTTTAATTAGATGCAGGTAACACTCATAATGGACTGCAGGTAACATCTTTCCCCAGTACAGGACCACCTCAGAATAACAAAAAACATATATACCTGATTGTACAAAATCTCTTGAGTCTTTTTTAAGAGCTCAGTGGTCTCATTCACCAACAGTGTATACATGAGTCGGCAGACACTGAATTAAACTTGTTGACGTTGAGCTTTATTAAACGGAAAATTGTCACCACATGACAAATTGGAGGCTCATCATAGATTTGTCACAACCTGGGGATTACAGAGGGTTTCATTGTTAAACTCCATCACAGTTGTCTAATCTGTTTGAATGCTGCATCCGCCATCAGCTTCCCCTTAAAGTTCCTCGATCCCAACTGGATGCAGGATAAACTAAGTTAAAAATACTGCTTTCATTACACCATCTCAACTGCATGATCAACTTGTGTAAAAATCATTTGTGTCTTTTCATCCCTGCTGATGTTTTGTTACAAAAACTTTTCAAAATAAAGAAAACTGAAAAAAAATAAAAAATAAATCAGCAACAAATTAAAGTTCCAGGCTCTGTCTGTAAAACACATGATTACGGTCCAATCAGCTACAGTTCCCTGTTGTCCTCTAGATGCCACTCTCTTAAAACAACAAGGTCGTACCTGACCTTCTACCATCGTTCTGGTTTTAATATTTATAGTTCTGGCTCCGTCCAGAGTTCCAGTTCAGTTTCTGTCCCACAGTTCACATTGAATCTGAACCGAACCACCTAGCCTGGACATGTACCTGTGCTTACTGTCCAACCTCCTGAGGTGTCAGTAAATCACAGAGTCTTTATAGGGAAGACTCAACCAGTGATCAGTCTCATGTCCTCCTCGTCGGTTCAGCTTTCATCCATCCTGTCCTCCACCCTGTCCTCCTCAACACCTTCGTTCCGGCTCTTCACTGTTATCTTCCATTCATCCCCGACATCTTCTCCGATCACAATCCTTGTCTCTCGTCTCTCCTTGTTTGCCTCCTTCTTGTACTCCTCTGTCTCCTTTGTGTCCTCCTCCTCACTGTCCTCTGCTATCGTCTCTTCTTCCTCCTTCTTGTCCTCCTTTTCCTCGCTGTTGTCTCTGTCATCTTCCTCACCCTTTACTGTCTCTTTTACTTCCTTCTCTGTGTCCTCTGTCCTTCCTTCCTCCTCAGTTTCCATCACTTCCTCCTCCATCTCCTGCCTGTCATCTGTCTTCTTCTCTGTTGTGTCCTTTTCCTCTTTCTCCTCTTTCTCCTCCTTCTCCTCCTTCCCCTCCTTCCATTCGTCTTCTTTGGCCTCTTGTGTCTTTTCTGTTGTCTCTTCTGTTGTCTCCTGTCCTTCCTCAATGTCCTCTTCGTCCTCCAGTTCCAGCAGATCAAGTGAATCTTCCTGTTCAGCTCCCAGCAGGATCTCTGTCAGGGTTTTCAGGAGGTCTGACTGAACCTCCTCTGGTTTCTGACTTGTCGTTTCGTCCTCATTTTTCTTCTTGCTATAGTCCTTTGGTCTTGGCAGGAGCTCTGTCAGGTCAAACGACTTCTTCAAGAGGTTCTGGAGTTTATTCAGGTGTGTCAGGGCCTCGACCACCCAGTCGACCAGCAGCTGGGCCACGTTGGCTTGAAGTCGGTGCGGTAACATCTCGTCCAGCTCGTTCGGGTTTCTTTCGGTGAACTTGGACCAGCGTGCCAGCAGGTAGCGCTGCAGCACTGGCTTCACGCAGACCTCCAGTGGCTGCAGGCAGAAGGAGCAGCCTCCAGGGATCACCGCTGGCAGGGTGCCCGATCCACTGACGGAGGTGAGGAACTGGTCTCCCAGGTGCTCCCTGTGCCGGTCCAGAACCAGCATTGATTTACGAGTCACACCGGACTGATTATGAAGCCAAACTTTGTTCATCCACAGATCCAGAGCCTCCTCGACCAGCAGTCCCTCCGGGCTAGTCTCTACCAGGATGAACTCAGGGAACGTTTTTTTTGCTAGCTGCTGATTAGCCAGCACCAGAGACGGCAGCATGGTACCGTCGGCCAGCGTCGACATGTACAAAGTGACCAGTGGTGAAGACCCAGTAAGTTCCAGCGCCTCTGAGCAGCGGGACTTATCCTGAGCTAATCTTACATCCACAAATAGGCACAGCTCGTCCATTGCAGCCACAGAGCTTTCCTGGAGTTTGTGGACCCGGAAGACCTTCTGGGTAAACCGTCTGAAGGACCGGACCTTGGCATCCAGAGAAGGAGGCAGAATGCGACACAAAGATGCAGCCCTGCCGATGGTCTGCACACCCAGCCGCTGCTGCAGCAGGAAGCTCACCGCCCAGACGTACGAGATGCGGAAGGAGTCGTCGAAGCCTCCCTTCTTCTTCAGCATGGACACTTTGTGGAAGAGGTTGCTCTCTGTGATCGGAAGTTGCTGTTCCCGCATGGACAGCACCCACGCCACCATGCGGTCCTCGCCATCGCCGTGTACCTTCTGCATGGTTTGCTTAAAACGTGTTCTGGCCTCCTTAAGCCACGACCGGATATGCTGCATCTCGGTGGAAAACACCCTTGAGGCCTGACGGAGTCCATCACACAGAGCAAACAGGGCGATCCTCAGCTGCCGGGCAGTCAGGAACTCTTCCCGATCTTTAGACCCAGATAAGATGGCAGGTGGTTGGGCATGGCCATTTGTTACTGACGGCGTGTGAGACACTGGACTTTTCCTATCTTGGATAAATTCTTCTTTAATAGTGTCACTTTCTTCAATGTCGTCCAGATCGTCCAGTTTCTCATCATCAGAGAAGTCAAAGTCCTCCACAGGAGCCATTGTCTGGTCCACACTGTCAACCTCGTCCACCTCGACTGTACCACTGCAGCAAAGACCAACAACGTTAATTTCAACATGAAAGCACAGCAGCAACTTCGAAAAAAACAGAAAGTCATTCATGTTTCATTCACATTTGTTAGGCCTCTGAATTCAGTTTCTATGCTTTTCTTTTTGCTCCTGTCTAGTTCATCCTTGTCTATTTTGTAGAGCCTCTACAAACATTTTCTTTTTATTGTGCACATCAGCCATAGAAAGATGTTTCACCAAGATGAATGTATCTTCCAACAGGTTGCTCCTCTGTATACCGTTTTAGAGCCATGCAGCATTTATTTTATTGATGTATGTTGTATTTTCTGTTGTTGTCTTTCTTGTCATCTCCTCTCTGCTCTGTGAAAACACTGCCTGCAGTTCACCTGAAATTTTTTTACTGTTAGTCACAGTTGAGTCAGTCACGGAGAATCAGCTGAAACCAAGTGGGAAGGAGTTGCTCTATTTTACAGAATCTGGTTCGAGGAGCAAATTATTTATTTTTGGTGAATTTTCAAATTAGTCACGCAGAATAAAATCATCTGTATTAAGTAATTAAAGTAAGTAAGAGAGTAAGTAACCTGCCTTCCAAACCTGCTTGCAGAGTTAATTCTAACAAACACCACATCAAAAATGAAAAAAATGTATTAGTGTGAAACAATTACCTTATTCTGTCCTTGAGAAATCCAATTTTTGCTGGTCCTGTGGAACACATCAAACACATCTTTAGTTGTGTGAAGTTTCCCAGTAATAAACCATTTTTAAAAAAAATGACTGTGTGAAACACTGACCTTTGTTGACAGGCGACAGGCCGTGAAACTCCCAGAAGCAGCTGGGCTGTTTGCACAGGTTGGCCTTGCAGATGATGCAGCCATACACACTCTCGTGCCGGACGCTCTTCATGTTGCAGTTCTTGCACCTCTTGGAGATGCTGCTGATCTTTGCTATCCTGTGTCTCTGTTTGACGGGTTCACCCGGTGTCTCCGTCCTCGTGCCGCGAGAGCTGGCAATCTCTATGGTTTCAAAGTATTTCTGGGCGCACTTGGCTAATTGGTTGCCCAGACGCTTGCGGAAGTTGACCTGAGAGAAAAGGCCGTCCTGTACCCAGGCAGGTGGGTTCTCCTTGCGGCTCTCCCGCAGCACAATGAAGGCATTGACGATGCTCAGATTCACCAAGAACCAGAAGAGGCTGCGCCAGTGTCGGTCCTGTGGGATTCCTCCAAGCGGGTTGCAGGCCAGCAGCTGCTTGCAGATGTCGACGCCTCGCATGTTCTCCTGCAGAAGGCGAAAGGCCATTGGGCGGTCAATGGGGTCCAGCCCACCCACTTTGCTCTGAGACCGCCTCCAAACAGTGTCAGCTTCCCCTGGAGCTGCGTTTGTCGACAAGCAGCCCATCTCTTTGGTGTCCCTCCAGCGAGTGGCTAGCAGGGGGCCACACTGCCTCTGCAGGAAGTCCCCAGGCTCTTCCAGCTGGCCTTCATCCCACAACTCCCGGGGCAATATGGGGTTGGGTGGAGGGAAGGAGCTGGAGGCGTAGATGTGCTGATCCAGGAGCTTCTGCATGACTGGAACTGACGTAAGTGAACTGGCCAGGTAGAGCTGGTGGTGTTTGCCCTCAAGACCCTTCACGAGCTCTGGCACCACAGTGACACCCGGCTCCTGCCCTGCCTTCTGCCCCACCTGGATGAAGAAGCGGTGACAATAGCCAGACTTGGAGTCACAGAGCAGCCACACCTGAGGCTGGGTCTTGGGCTTTCCTTTCAGGTGACAGCTCTCCTCCTCCAGACTGGGCAGCAGCGCTCGGTCGATGGTCAGGGAGCAGTTCGGCTGGTAGGTGCTCCACATGGCTTCGCTCATGATGTCCAGCATCGGCCTGAAGATGTGCAGCGAGTCGGCGGGGTTGCCGGTCCTGCAGTACTCGCTGGTCTCGAAGCTTCCCATGCGGATGTTGGTGGCGATCTGCTTGAAGCGCTTGAAGCTCATGGCACGATAGAAGGTGTAGCTGTTGTCATAGTGACTCCAGGACCAGTAGTGCGACGGGTCAGGCAGGTTCTGAATCCCCATCAAGATCACCAGGCCGATGAAGCCTTTGACCTCGTGTGTGGTGACAGGGATCCAGTCCGAGTAGCTGGCACCCAGGAACTGGCAGGTTTTGACATGGGAGTTTGTCTCCTTTGTGATGAGCTCAATGAGTGCCGCCGGGAAGAGCAGGTTGAAGAAGTCGATGGCATCACTGTTCCTGGACAGGAAGTGGTTTGGACCGCTGGTTTCAGTAAAGGGCAGGATAGAGAATGTGCTGCTCTCTGTCGGCTCCTTCCAACAATCTGCTGACCTCCAGGACTTGTCAGCTGCGTCCTGGCTCTGCTTGGGGTCCTCATCTTCTGCAGAACTTTGCTCTTCATTGTGGCAGAACTGAATGTCTGGTTCAATGTAGGCTGAAAGGAAAACAAGGGACAGGTTTTAGCAACTTAAACACACATTTTAAACAGAATTAATACTCAAACTAAGTATTGTGATGATCACAAGCATGTGAGTGTTTCAGGAAGGTTTGAACCAGACTCAGACGACAGAAGTGGCCTGAATAACCAACCAATGTTAACTTTCTGAACCCCAAAATCTGTTCCAAAAGGATGTTGTCTTTTTTTTTTTTTTTTTTATTTTGTTTGTTTTAAGAAACAGTTTTTCCAGAAAATGAACCAAGAGCTTCAGTAAAAAGCAACTGGACTTCTCTTTTTCATTCTTGAAGTTGTACAATGACACACATTAAGCTTGGTAAAATATATAGATATTTTTTTAACAGTTGTGCAGAGTAGAGTGAAAAACTTTGTAGAAGCTGTAAAAATGTTAAATAGCCATAGTATGTGGAGACAAAACTTCAAAAATAAGATGCAACAGTACCAAAGCACATAACAAAACTGCAAAAATGAGACACAAAACGACTACGACAAGATACAAAATGATAGAACAAAGACAAAATGACAAATATGAAGCAAAATGACCACAAAGAGACTGAACTATCATGAAGAGATGCAAATGAGACACAATGCAACAAAAATGAGACAAAAAACAACCCAAAAATGACACAAACCCACTCAGAAAGCTCTCGGGGTTTGGAGGCTTCAAACTACGTTAATCAGCCTAATAAACTTGACATTCCTGTTCTGTATAAACCCATTGTTTCTGCTGTTTACTCCTCCTCTGACCCTCCGCTCAGGTCAATTGTGTTTACTTTGGCTGCACAGCTGGACGCTGTCACAGGAAGGATACTGTTCCAGACTCCACCCAGGAAATGTCTCACTTAAGAGAATAGGCAGGAACAAGTTCGGTTACATATTTTGATAATTTTCTGTGTTTTCAGACTTGAGAACTTCTGCATTTTTACCTTAAAAAAAGAAACCTGTGAAGCCATTTTCTGGGTTTAGTATTTCCAGAAATAAAATTCCCAGTCATGAAATTCAGTGAGGACATAAACAGGATACTTTTCAGCAGATCCAAATGATTGAATGGATCCAATTAGTTTTATCTTGTTATACTATCCAAACATCAAATTCTACTGATGGAATCGACCAAAGACTATATTATTAGAAGGAAATATGGAGACATCTGTGCATATACACTACAGGAACTTTCAGATGGTGAAAATACTAAATTCACAGATCTGACAAAATGAAATTCTGGGACTTAGTTTTGGGTTCCAAGTCACAAGTAAGTGAACAGAATGTGAGACGGTGGGGGAAATGTTTCCTGATTATGTCTGACTTGCTGACCCAGGGAACATCAGGACGCTGCACAAGGTTCTCTTTGTATTTCTGAAGGTCAATAAAACATTAAATCACCTCTCAATGCTCAGGTTCTATTAGACAGGTCTATTGTGTAGTTGCTGTGTGGATGTAGTTTTGTGGGTGTTTTGGTGCAGTCTTACTCCGGGAGCAGCAGGTGGCGCTGTGGTGGTCTGGGTTTAACAGCAGGTGATCGGCCATCTGATCAGCAGTGTGAGGCCTGAAGTCACACTGAGAACACTGTAGCAGGAACACACTGCAGGAGGACACACAACAACATCATAAAAACACACAAACTCAGGGGAGGAGACACACAACAGCATGACCATGACGGACTCACAACAACATGAAGAGAAACAGAACAATAACACAGAGAGACTCAGAACCTCAGGGGAGGAGACAGACTTTACAGACTGAAAACTGGTCAGATCAATAATGCTGATGGTTCTCACCAGGGGGGCGGCAGTCTGTGCAGGGGGAGAACTTTGTCTTTGGATCGTGGGACGTGGTGGCTGCAATCACAGAACATCAGACATGAATCGATCAGCTAACCTGTCCGAGATCTAATCAATCAGTGATCAGTAATGCTGATCGGTTCTTACTGGATCATGTGGGTAGCGTAGGCTCTGGAGCAGCAGCTGCTGTAGGGACACAGCAGGCAGTGGACGTGGGTCGGATAGTGGGCCGAGAAGTCCAACGCCTCGGTTCCACACTCCAAACACACCAACCGGTCCAGGTCACCAGACCTGCAGGGGGAAGGAATGGTTCCATGCAATGAACACCTGACAGCAGAACATCCGACACTAGCACAGAACACCTGACAGGAGCACACCTTACAGAACAACACCTAACAGAACACCACCTGAAAGTGGAACACCTAAGGGGAGAACACCTGATAGTAGAACACCTGACAGCAGAACAGAAATCTGACAGTAGAACAGAACAAAAACCTCCTGATTTAGGTCACAACATGATCTGTCCTCTGGCGCCACCATCTGGACAAACATTGTTGACCTGGACTTACCTGTTGGCGTGGATTCGGCTGCGGCTGATCGGTCTCTTGGTCGGGGATCGTGGTGATTTGGAAATTATAGGGTTCCTCTGGATCGGCAACCTATGCACCTCCGTCTTGATGTTGATTGGCTGGATGAGGGAGAGAGGGCTCTGGAGGAGGCGGCTCCCGGCTGTCATTACTGGCCGGATCTTTCCATAGGTCCTGATGGTCACCTGGAGACACACAGACCAATAATACGAATGATGCTGTCGCTGAAGCATTAACACACTGTGGGCTGCTGTCACAGGTAGAGGTGTGGAGGAGGGGCGAGGCTGAGAAGCAGGGGTGGGGCTGACCTTTGACCCTGGTGGCAGTCCCTCTAGCTGAACGGGTCGGCGGAAGCTGCGATGGTTCTCCAGTTTGTGCTGCATTTTGTCCTTCAGGAAGACAAACTGAAGCCGACAGCGGTTACAGTGGAAGGCCTGGTTTATCTGAGGCAGAGAGGACAGAATAAAAATAAAACATCAGTTCATTAATGCAAGAATACCAACAGGAAATTTAGTTATCAACCATGGAATTACTGTCCAGGTGTTTAACCATCTGAACCGGGACGTAATTAATTAACAGGTTCACAACCAACATTCGACCACATTGTCAATCATCTATCAATTAAATACGGACACTAACACTTAATGTTGGCTGTTACATCAGTTCAGTTACATCAAGAATTTGAAGAACTGTTAATGTAAAAACCAGCTTACTAAAGTATAAATTAACCTTCTGAACCTTTAAATACACCAGCTGGGTTGAAAGGTACATTATCTTGAAATAAATCACTAAATAACCCCATTTATCATCCAGAAACTGTAAATCAGAAAGAATCAGACAAAGTTTGTAGAGGCTGTAAACATGTAAATACTGTCGTGACTCAATAATCCAACACTAAATGTAAAACCTTCTTTTATGTCGGATAGCACGGCTGTCGGATTGTCAAGACGGAGGTCGAGATACAAGGAGGGCTTGATGCTTGAAGGGTCATTTGTTGTTAATATTCATTGTTTATAGTTGTTATAATAACTAGTGTATTGTAAGAACACTATGCATCGCTGGATTTCACGCCTTTGCACTTGTGCACGGCTCGTCGGTTGACATCAAAGGTTTAGACAGCAGGCTGAAGTGACCCAAATCCATTTTTTTTCCCCTCCTATGCGATCTGTATCTAATCTTTTCATGACAGTCTGAATAACACAGGTCCAATTAATGCTGAAAATCGGCATGGTAGAGGGGGCACTTCCATCCCAGGGGTGCACTCCAACGGTGTGGAAGTGGCCAGAACGCACAAGCAGTAATTGACTGCTGATGCTAGTTTAGTTAGCGGTCACAGTTCTGTTTCCACCGTCGGCAGCAGGGGAGTGGCAGATACTCTCCACCATTATCATCCGTGTTTACTTCCGATAACCCTGAGCATGCTCGCTGCGTGTGATGTCGTTGTGCTCTCTTCTGCGCATGGGGAACACTTTTGGGTCATATGAAGTTCACACAGCAGATCACATACAAGTTGCACTTAATTGGAAATGTGAACAAATTCCCCAGAAAAATCACAAGAAATCCAAATTGAGCATTAAGTCCTGCAGTCTCAACGTAGCCAATCTGTCGGCTTGTTAAATCAGATAACATGCCATTATCCTTATTTGTGACATAAAATGTCATGTCGGAGTCATACTCCAAGGCTGTCGGTATGTTAAGGCTGTTTTTCATGGGTTCCATTCGTTTTTCCTAAAAACCTGTCGGATAGAAAGGTATTCGGATTGTTAAAGGTCAGATTATCAAGTCACGACTGTAGTTAAATATCTATAGTACATGGAGCCTCCATGTTTTCCAGTGTTGGTAACATATTTGACATGTTGACTCCAGGTTTTTGACACTTCTGTTGAAAGAATAATGATTTCTGTCATTCTGCCTGTACTTCCATTTCATAAAACAGTAAGAGGCTCCACCTAGTGGAACAAATAGGTACTACAAGTAATCTACAGGCAGGTGTCTCATCTTCTGTCTGACTGGTTAATATGTTTTTAAATCCATTAAATTACTATAATAGAATAATAATTAGCCAATCAACAAATAATTACCTGGTGTCTAACCAAGTGTGTTAACTGGTGTTTGAGCAGGTGTGTTACCTGGTGTTTGAGCAGGTGCTGCTGGTAGCTCGCTGGATTTCTGGTCACCTTCAGACAGAACACGCACAGCAGGAAGCGAGATTCCCTGTGGAAGCTGGCGAAGTGCTGCAGGACATCCGCGTAGAAGGACGAGCGATACGAACACACCTGCAAGAAACGCCGTCACATCTGAGTAAAGACCAACACCTGAGAACAAGCACTGATGGAGGTCAGAGGTTAGACTCACCTGGCAGATGTATGGCATCTCACCCGGTTTGTGGTTTGATTTCATGTGGTTCAAGAAGGCCGGCTCATTCTCAAACGCCCACTCACAAATACGACACATACCTGAAAGAGACATGTGAGACCAGAGTCTTGACACGTAAGAAGTGAGTCAGAACAGGTAAGAACCAAGGCAGGACAGGTAACCCCAGGTCAAGTCTTGGAAAGATAAACCTCAAATTGAGATCAAACAGTCCATAATCAGGACCAACAAATCCACAAACATTCTTTTGTGATGCGTTTCTCAGATGTGTGAGCAGGTGTGGTTCTTACAGGAGGAGAGAGCGGAGCCATGAACCTGCTCCTGGTGGCTCTGCAGCTGTGCTGGAGACGAGAACTGTCGGTAACAGTACCTGCAGCACTTCCTTTCATCGTCTCCTCCTCCACCAATCAGCTCCGAGTGCTGCAGCATGTGCTGCATCAACCTGCACACACACATACACACGTGCACACACACAAAGAGGTTAACACAGTAACAGGCAATACCTGTGGCCACCAATCCAGCTGTGTTCAAGTGTTTACAGGTGTATTAAGGTGTGGTCAGATGCGTTCAGGTGCTCGGTGACCACACCTCAGGTTGTTCTCTGCCAGGTGCATGCAGATCTGGCAGGTGAAGGTGGAGGTTTTGATGCCCAGTGGGAGGGGCTTCCTCAGGCTCAAGTCGCCTTCGAAGGTTCCGTAGTAGAACTCCTCCACACTCATCACCACTCTCGGAGAGTCGGAGGTCGACGTCAAGGTCATAGTGGGAGTCATGATGACAGAGGGGGTGGAGCCAGGAGCTGAGAGACCAAGTAACACAGAAACGTATTGAAGTCACACTCTAAAATGGGTTCGTTTGAATCCCATCAAGGTGTTTTAAAGCTGATCAGTATCAAACCGAAACCTGATCCTTTGTTTGCTGTTGCCACAGTTTGTAGCATGAAGCTATGTGTGATAATTAATGTCCCTTTCAGTAATCAGCATCATTATCAATCAACCAAAGATTAATCATTCATTTGTTCTGTACTGATGCTGTTGTTTCAGTCAACAGACTCATAATTTGTTCCTCAGTCAGTTCTGTTCCATATGTCACTGTGAGCTCTGAAGTTTTATTATTTCATATTAAAGTATTCTACATGTTTACAAAAAAATCAGAAATATAGTTCAGAAAATATTACAAGTTGACTTCTGCATTATCAGTCAGAAGTCAGCAGCTTGATGGTATTAAGAGGCTACAGCAGCAACAGAATTCAAACTGGGACTGAACTGGTTCTGTCAGAACTCAGTCTGAGATGTTCTGTGATCAAAGTATTGGTGTAGTGATCAGAGGCAGCTCGTACCGCTGCTGAACGTAGTGAATCTGGTGACTCCATTGGCAGAACCAGAAGGGAGGGCTGGGGAACCTGCCAGCTTTAGGGTGTTGGCTCCACCCAACTGTGTCACCTGGAGGTTAACTGTAAACAAACACATGAGTCAGTAAGTTGGTGCGAACGGCTGCCTGAAGCCCAGCCCCCTCAAACTGCAGCATTCTGACCGGGTCCTGGCGTGCTGGTGCGGATGGTCAGCGTGGTGGGCAGCTGCATGGCGGTTGGTCGGGTCTGGATGGTCTGACCCTGGGGGAGGACGGGGGACACGCCCACACTGGGCCGGACGAGCTGACCGAGCGACGGCGCTGTGGGGACAGAACCCACCAGCTGGGATCAATAGCCCGATCAGGTGTCTTATCAATCAATGTGTGCGGCAGTCAGTAACTTACACTGGATCAGGGTGAGTGGCTGCACTGTCTGACCCTGAAGGTTCAGCAGCAGAGGAGTGCCAGGGTTCATCATCGTCTGCATCGGGAAGCCCTGGGAACACATGACCTCTCAGTGACTTCGCAGTGACATCATAGTCATGTGACATATTTATATTCCTCAACAGTGTTTTCAGCTGATCTTCACATTTAAGAAGCTGTTTGACATTTATGATGCAAAAATTATTTATCAGTTCAATCGATTGATCTCATCGATCAATAAATCGACTGCAGTCAATATGAGGCAGAGGGTGCTTGGTTTTCTGGTACCTGTGTAGTCAGGAGGAATGGCTGGGCGTTGGCGGTTCCGGGGGCTGCTGGGAGGAGAAACGTTCCACCTGCCGTCTGCGTCAGGAAAAGGGGCGGAGCCTGAGCCATCAGGGGCGGAGCTGAGACAGCAGGTGAAGAGGCGGCAGGGAGGCGGGGGGCGGAGGGGGTGATGATGGAGGGAGGACGAGGAGCAACAGAGGACGAGATGATCTGCACAGGAGGGGAGGCTGAGGACCAAAACAAACATTTACCTGAAAATGAGGACCAATAAACAAACATTTACTGAAAATGAGGACCAATTAACAAATTCTTACTAAAACTTATTTCTGTGTCTCTTGGGTCTTTCCGCAGCTGTGTATGCTTATTTTACATCTTTTTGTTGTTCTGTGTTTCTTCACGTCACACCTACAAACACACAGATACCTGTTGGAGCACGTGTGATGGGTGGAGGTGTCCTAGGAGGTGGAGACTCAGAGGCAGGAAGAGGAGATGGCGAATCCTCCACTGCAGAAACAGACAACACAGAGGACCGGCTGAGTCTTTGAGAGGACACGGTGTCTTTACTGTGAGACACTCCGCGCACAGTGATTGAATCCACACTGAGTCACACTGTGGACAGACACTCAAACAGAAGATTGTATGTCTCACCTGGCTCGCCGTAGTTGTCCATGAAGTCCATATCGTCTTCCTCCACGCTGTCGTCCACCTGTTGCCATGGCTCCAGCTCCTCCTCCTCACACTCCATGAACAGCTCTGTATCCATGTTGCTATGGAAACCACCATAAGAACCAAGGGGTGATCTCTGACCTCCATCATCATCATCATCATGAAACAAAACGTGAGCAGCCTGAAAAGTCTGAGTTCTTCCACATCGCAGATACTGAGTCCATTGAGCAGCAGTTCCAGAGCTTTCTATCACATCGTATGACCTTCATTAGTACATGAAGCTGCAATTTGACTCACAGATGTTCAAACGAACCAAACTATTTCTGCTCATTCTCCAAAAACACACAGCTGAACTCCTGATTCCACTTCACACCTGAGACATCATCAGGTCATGTGATGCAACATGATGCTTTGCTCCAGGCGGCTCCGCCTCCTAGGACTGCAACATGTTTACCTTTACTCATTAACATAAAAAATTATATGCAACATTAATGTATTCTGGATTTATTTATTAGATTTAATAAACACTCTGTGCAACTAATCTAATATAACAAATAGTTATGTAGAAGTGAACTGTTTTCTGACTGCACGTCTGTTCTAAAGCAGAACTGCAACTAGCATCTAATCTAAGAACAATGGTCTTGATTTATGGTTTAGTCTATAACATGTCAAAAAACAAAGAAAAGTCTTCAAACTGAACAATTTTACCACCAACCGTCCAAAACCCTGAATATTCAGTTCATTGTCTTATCAAAGAAATATCAAGTTCTCATAATAACATCTAAACACTTGTTGAAAAAAACTACAGAGTTTTATCTTTTGATGGAAGAATTAATACAATTGTTGCTCTAAAAGGTACAACTACAGCAATGGGAGAATTCACATTAACTGATTAATAGTTAAATTGCTTATTTTCCGGATGACTCAATCAGACGTTAGTCTCTAAAATGTATGCATTTTCAACTGATTATGTTGAACATTTGCTGGTTTCAGCTCCAAAACTTTTCTCTCATATGATAAATATTTAATGACTCTAAAAGTAAAACAGACAGAATTTAAGACTCTTTTAATGTTGTCGTTGAAAATAAACTTTATTCGATGTTTGTCCCGCAGAGCTGCTGCTCAATAAAGTTGGATTTAAATGGCTTCAGGTGTGCAGTCCCAGTTGCGGCGCAAGGGGCGCTGCTCCCACAGCTTCACTCCGGGCTTTTTGTTTTACACTCGCTTGAAGCGCGTCTGTCCCGGCGGAAGCAAACTTGTCCACCGGCCAGTACAGAGGCGTCAGAGAACACGGGTAAACTGTTGGACCGGGTCACAGTAAAGACACAGCCGGACACGGAGCAGAGCTCAGCCCGCCGCGGTGCATTTGACTCCTCGACAGCCTGCCTGCCTGCCTGCCTGTCTGCACCGCCCCGCCGGCAACAGCTCGCAGCTCCAGACTGAGCAGCTCCGTGGTGGACCGGGTCTGCGTGATAACCCGGTCAGAGCCAGGCCCGACCGGGCCGGTCTTACCTGCTGCCGGAGAGGCTCGGACGGGTTTGCAGCTGCTCGGTTCTTCTCCAGGCGCGCTCCGGTTCGATAGCAGGGGGCGGGCCTTCCTCCCACAATCCAAATCAGAGCCAAGGATTGGTCCGCAAGGATCTTACGCCACTTCCTCTTCAGGCAGCGCTGCTTCTGATTGGTCGGTGAAATTTTTTGTGGAAGTGCAGTGCTGCGGAGCGCCGCGGGTTTTCAGGCTGGAGGTGGTAAAACGCTCCGCTGCGGCCAGTGAGGCTCCGGTTAAACGACCCGACAGATACAAAAAGCGGAGCCACACCGACAGGCCCACAAAGCGGTCAGAACCGAGACCAGGAGGCACCAAAACAGCAGGCGGTCCGAGGGCAGACCGCCATTTTGTTTTTGTTGTTTTGTGAGGAGGCGGGGCCAAGTGACGTCAGAGCTTAAATCTAAGACCAAAGAGTGATCAGATTTCCGAAACAAAAAGTTTTATTAACTTTAGTTTTTTAAAAATTTCATTTGTATTTATTTATTGCTGTATTTCTTATTAAACAACCAAAAAAATATATGAATTTCACCTGTGGTCAGTTTAACTTCTTAACAAACTGAGTAGTAATAATGAAACAGACAGACAGTGTTTATTAACACACTGATATACAAATTGTCTGCAAATAAATGACAACCATTTATTGGTCAGTAAATGAATTAAGTTTTTTTGTTTGTTTGTTTTTACAAAATTTAAAGAAAAAGCATTTTAAAAAAATATTTGTGATTGAAAAATTAAATGTGATTTCAAAAAAATTTACAAGAAAAAGATTTTAATGCATGAATGTTCCTGCTGTTTGCAAAAATAAAATAAATTAAAGCCGCAAGCAGCGATGGACGGGTTCTCGCCGTACGATTGTTGGCCTTCATGCACGTCAGGGTGTGGCGCAAACATGCTCCGGGCAGGACTGTGATCCGGCGTGTCCAGTTTGGGGCAGATCATAGCACGTGCTGCCTAGTTATGAGCCACTTCCTGTTTAGTGACAAGCCGCAGCGGCGTGCGTGTTAGCCGCGGAGAAAACGTGCTCTGGCAGAGACTGGGAGAACGCGTGTAAAGTTTCAGGCCGTTCGGAGCACACAGGCCAGTTACACAGCATGACTCGTATTCTGGCGTTTAATGGCGTTGTGGCCAAATTCAGAGGTTCACCGTTTCCACGCCATCAGACTTTTGCAGACCACTTTACTAACTTTTAATCACCACCTCCTGTAGTTTGTGCTGGCCAAATTTCAGGTGTGTACGACTTACCCCCTAGGAGAAGATAGATTTTGAAAATGGCTAAAAATGGCCGATTTTCGGCCAAAAGCCATCATTTTTTTCAAAATGGCCGACTTCCTGTTGAGTTTCAGACATGTGTTCTTGAGACTTCTTTGTGCGTCTCGGCATGCTACGTGTGTGCCGAATTTCGTGGCTCTACGTGAAAGTGTGTTCGGGGCCCCATTTTTCGTAATTTTGTAGGTGGCGCTGTTTTTCGCCGGGTCTGATGTCTGTGACAAGTTTTGTGCATGTGTGAGTACGTTTAGGACCTCAAAAACACATTTTATTGTCATGTACATCATGATGACATCATCCACATCATGATGACATCATCATGGCGGATTTCGTGTCGGGTTGACAGAAACGCGCTAATGGACTTTTTTCTGCGTCACAAGCTGCTACATATGTCTATTGAATTTTGTAGCTCTAAGTCAAATGTAGCTGCAATGGGACTCAGTTGAAATATTGTAGGGAGCGCCATTGAGCCATGTTGCATTTTAGAGTTTGGACCTCGTCAACTTTTTTGTTCGTCCTGACCTGCACTATATGCCTACCAAATTGCGTAACTCAAGGCCAAATGTGCTCTTGACAGGAGTCCGTTGAACAATACCACGGGGCGCTTTGGAGCCGTTTTGGCAGTGACATGTCCAAGTCCCTTAAAGTTTCTAATTTTTGCCAGTCCTGGTTTGTGTGGCGATTTTGGTGACTTTTCGTGAGTCAACACATGCGTATATGCCCACATACATTATGACATCACTGATCACTCATCAAGTGGCTCAAAAGTTGTTAAATGGAGATCTTCACTTCAGATCACGTAACTAGAAGCTGTTTTCAGAGAGGGACATTTACATCAATTCAAGATGAACGCGTGGAGATCCACACCGTACGGCCTTAGAAGTTTGCTGGAGTGTTTGGCGAGAGCAGCACTCCTAGCACAGCCAGACAACCTGGAACATTTTATATGTACACACATTACCAATATGGTACGCTCCAGAGATGAAGATTGCAATGATCCCAATTCCACTATGTAATGAATAAAGATTTTCAACTGGAATATTTAATTCATTGAGATCTAGGAAGTGTTATGTTAGTGTTCCCTTTATTTTTTGAGAAGTGTATAAGTATGTGAAATAAAAGCTACTGTGAATATAAATGCGAAAGTGAGTGTCTTTTTCAACAATGGAGTGTCGGTGGTGAAATATAAATGCTAACAATCAACTCAGAATAAAAAAAAAACAACCTTGATTTGACCCCTCATAAGTTACTTAAGGCCCGGTTTTAAAAAATCGATTTTTCGTCAATCGTTTATCGGTACCCTAACTTGAGCAGGTCTTTTTCAGGGTTTCAAACAGGAGTTGAACTTCAGCATTTGAAGGCATGTTATTACACACCTTTACAAACATATTGGTGAAGAAATTGTTTGGTAACGATTTAGCTGGCAGATTTTGATATTTTCCCCTTACTATTCTGCAGTGTCTGTCTTTCCCTGAAGGGAACAGTATTGTTGTAGTTTCTGTTTCTGCCTGTAGGAAGCAGTGTTTCTGTAGTTATTTTCTCTGCCTGTAGGTGGCAGTGTCTCTGTAGTTTCTGTAGTTCTTTTGTGTGCCTGTAGGGGGCAGTGTCTCTCTGATCAACGCTGTGGTGGATAATCTGTTGTAATCTGTTAATCCTTCCTCCTCAATCTCTGTCTCTGTGTCGCTCTCAGTCTGTTCTGACCTGCAGGATGAAGGCAGCAGCTCCGGGAGGATTCCTGGTGCTGCCATGGCCCGGAGGAGGCGGCGCCGGCACCGGTGACGGTGGATCGGACCCTGTTGTGGGGGAGGAGGGCTGGGGGAGGCTGCTGCTGAGGAGTGGAGCACTGCTGGGATTCACTCTGATCTGTAAGACCGCACTTGTGATTTCTGATCAATAAGCTTGTGTGTTCTGTTTCTATGTTCAGTTTAATGTGGAATATTTATTTCATTTTTTCTTTCTGACATGTGAAGCTGAAGAAAACAATAAACACACTGATAAAACAGGATTTAGTAAACAGAACAGACGCATGTGCCTGCAGCAAATAAACAATGTTTTTAGTTCTTTAATTGATATCAGCCATATTAACATTTGTGTAGTACATGAAGGAAAACAAAACTTAAAACCAACTCTGTCACCATTTTTGTTTTGTTTTGTTTTAATAGCGATTCCTTCCTGTCATGTAGAAACCAAAAACAAAAATCAGGTAGCTTTTCAAAAAAGTTTAAAACGAAACAAAAGATGAAATCAAGCAATCTGTTTGTTCCTTGTTTCTAAATGATAAAGTAGAAAATCGAACTCAAAAAACACTCAAATTTAGATTTTTGCAAATGTTTTCTTTCATTTCTCATACAGCCTGTAGACTGATCATGAGATATTTACAGGAGAGAAGAAACTGTGCCTAAAATAAAACCATATGAACTAATTGGGTGTTTGTACCTTCTTGGTAAAGAGAATCAGACTGGATGTAAAAGATGGATGTTCCCTCTGAGCCTGAGAAGTAAAGCCTTAAACCTGCATTCTTCCTAATGGCCAGCAGGGGCTGACTCCTCAGATGGACTGATTGTATAGAAGTCTATGAGAAAATGATCCGACTTCTCACCTGAGCTGTTACCTCATTTTCCTGATGAGTTTATGGTCTCAGTTACGGTTCCATTTAGACGAAATAGATGATAAAGCATGAGGTGTTTTAGGACTGACGTAGTGTTCTCAATTTTTCGGTTAGATCCTTTCCTCACTCATTATGTCTGATTGCAAACAAAGATGGCTCAGTTACTATAGATGCAACTGAAACAAAAAAGTTTTTGTTAAGATTTAAAATATCAGCAGCACCCCCTGTGGTGTGGACAAAAATGCAGAATAATTACGACCTTACAAACTAAATATATGTGAAATTAGAAGTTTATAGGAGCTGCTGCAGTTTTGGAATTACTAAAACGGATCTTCAAACCTCTGTTCTGGCGTTATTACAGCTGCGAGCATCTTACTGATGTTAGAGGACATTCGAAAAGTTTTAATCCTGAATATATGACAATGACAAAACACACTGTGTTCACTGTCCTATATTTACATGCAGATAAATTAATTCAGTAATTTAAGGTTCTAAATTTAATGGTCAAAGTGTGTTTTCAGTTGAATCATTGAATCACAGTCAGTGATGTTTACAGCAAATGTTACTAAATAAAGTCATATAAAAAATAAAATGAAAATAAAAAATCTGATGTTTTACAATTTGTGAACAGATTGAGCTTCACTTACAAAGACTGAAAAATACAGAAAATGAGTTGATTCAGAGAAACAGATTCAAATAAGTAACAGCATCATCCACGTACAGGTGGACGTCACCTACTGTTTCCATGGTAACTAATGCTGTGTGTGTGCAGGTATGGCGGTGCTGAGGAAATGGATTGGAGGGGGAGTGTGTCGCTGTTCGGTTCGTCTGGACGGGAAGACAGTTCTGATTACAGGAGCGAACACCGGCATCGGCAAAGAGACGAGCAGGGACATGGCTCAAAGAGGTTCTGGTTCCAGCCCATATTTCACATGCAGACACACCTTTACACACCTGTTCACTGCAAATACACTAAAATTCAGAATGAGGAAACCGTCTCAACTACCTGCTCAGAAATCAGGAAAACAGAAGCACAGCAACAGAAAATATCTTCCAGTGGTGATCTGACGTTTGCAGCTTTACAGGTTGTAATGTGTCGCCGTAAAGATGAACCACCTCTGACATGAACAACTCAGCACGACTCTGTAAATGTGTTTCCCCTGAATCTCTGTGGGAGTTTCTTAAATTTACCTGAAAACTTGAAGGGATCTGCAGGAGCAGCAGAAACTAAAGAGCGGACAGATCATTAGTTGATACAAACAGTGTCTGCAGATCTATAAGTCCTGTCTCCATGCAAGATCCACACAAACTGCACATTCCACATTCACTGTGTAATTTTGTTCTCTAATTTTTAAAATAGTGTGAAGTTCATTGCTCTTAGCTTTCAGCTGCAGAGGTTCAATCAGTGGCTGTAATTCCTGCTCTCAGACGCCCAGAGGAGTGTTAATCCTAATAATCGGCTCAGAGTGTTTCAGCCTCCTTGAGAATCTCTATGACCTCTGACCTCTGCTCAGGTCAGAGGTTGGCTGTAACACACAGACACAGTAAAGTCTGTTCAGAGAAACTACAGCAAACTGAGGGTAAAGAAGCTGCAGGAACACCTGAAGCAGGTGCGTTTGTTTCGCTGACCAGGTGCCCGGGTGGTGATGGCGTGCAGGGATCTGACCCGAGCGGAGCGGGCTGCCGAGGAGGTCCGCCGGTCGACAGGGAACGGAAACGTGGTGATCAGACACCTGGACCTCGCCTCCGTCTACTCTGTCAAGCAGTTCGCCAAAGACTTCCTGGACAGTGAAGACAGACTGGACATTCTCATCAACAATGCAGGTGAGCTCACCTGTCGGTCTGTCAGTCAGTCTGTCTGTCTGTCTGTCCAAACCCTCTCATCCTCAGGATGTCAAAAACTGCTGTTTTGTCAAAGCTGAAATAGTATATCTATAGTATGTGAAGAAAAAATGACACAGAAACAGAGTTCAGACTGCAGGGTAGTTTTCATGTAGAACAGAGTACCTCCAGGGATGTTTCTTCTGAGCTCCTGAAACAGTGCTGTGTTGCATGCTGATAGGTTAAACTCAGAGAGGACAGATGCTGATTGTCTAATGTCTGTCTTTCTGTCTGTAGGAGTGATGATGTGTCCAAAATGGCTGACAGAAGACGGCTTTGAGACTCAGCTGGCTGTTAATCATCTGGGTCATTTCTTGCTGACCAATCTACTGGTGCCAAAGCTGAAGAGCTCCGCCCCTAGTCGCGTGATTAATGTGTCGTCCATCGCCCACCAAGGAGGTGCAACCGCTGACCTTTGACCTCTGAGGTGTTTGTTGGCGTTGTTTTATAATTTCTGTGTTTTCTTTGTGCTTCAGGTCGCATCGACTTCGATGACTTGTTCTTCAGCCGGAGAACATACAGTTCTCTGGAGAGCTACCGGCAGAGCAAACTGGCCAACGTGCTGTTCTCCAGAGAACTCGCCTGCAGACTCAAAGGTTCTACAAACACTGGACTTCACAAACTCCCAGACATTAACACAAACGGCAACTGAAAATGATAGAAAACAACAGCTGAGAGCAACACCAAACAGTGACTGAAAACATGGCTGGTGTCTACGCTGGGAGTACAGCTGCTGCAGAATAGTCCATGATTCTGAAAATGTGTTGGCATCAATATTTTAAATAGATGTATTTATTTGTTTATAATGCTTCAATTTATTTTCACAAATGTTCATTACAATGACAGTCCTGAGGGTTCTTCGAGGAACTTATAATGCAGTCTTGAGGGTTCCTGATGAGGAGCGTTTGAACCTCCTCCGTCTAGTTTATCTCACCTGTCTCCTATCTATCTATCCTTCAGGTCCGTGCAGCACATCAGAGCTGTGATGTGATAGGCTGGTGAGCTGACTGACACACCTGTGACCCCTCCCCCTGACTGTGTCCTCACCTGTCCTGCAGGCTCTGGTGTGTCATCGTTCTCCCTCCACCCTGGTGTGATCCGGACCGAGCTGGGCCGTCATGTGGAAGGCTGGTTCCCCCTGCTGGGGATGCTGCTGAGGCTGCCCTCGCTGCTGCTCATGAAGACCCCGTGGCAGGGCTGCCAGACCACCGTGTACTGCGCCGTGACGCCGGGCCTCGAGGAACGCTCAGGACGCTACTTCAGGTAAGAGGGGGAGGGGCTAATAACAGACACACCTGTTGGTTTCCCTGAGTGTAGTCTGGAAGGTAAAGAATATTTTAGGACAAACTCAGCTAACATAGACACACTCAGTTTTGTCACATTTTTTTTAAACAAAATTGTTCATTCTTTTTGTGTGAAATCAGAATCCGAACATGTTGAGCAGTACACAGTACTATATATCAGGTGTACTGCAGTCCAAGTACATAGTGGTGTGTAACGGAGTAATGAAATGTTTGCAGTGACTGTGCAGAGAAGGAGACAGCGCCGGAGGGTCGGGACGATGTGGCGGCGAGAAGGCTGTGGGAGGAGAGCGCCCGATTGGTCGGATTAAAGGACTTGTAGTGAAAATAAGAAGTGACGGAGCTGCAGCGCCCCCAACAGGACAGAACAAATGACCCTTAACATCTGCTGGTTCTGTTAGTCTGAAAGGCAAGCTTCATGTTGCTGTTTAATCAGGTACATGTGTGTTCTTTAACTCACACAGTCCTCATGTTCCACATGGTCCACATGTTCCAGGTGTTTGGACTCCTGAGAACGAGTCTGAACACACTTCAAACATCAGTATGTTCCCCTAATGTTCCCTCTACATTTCCTTCATGCTGTCTTGTTGGTCTCTTTAGGTTCCCTTAGTGTTGTCTTTATCTGTCACTTTCTATTTAGGTTCTCTTAATGTCTTTTATGATGTTTCCTCATAGTTACTTTTATTCTTTCTTTGTGTTCCCTTGCTGTTCCTTTAAGTTCCTTCAGTGTTCCCTTTACGTTCTTTTCATGTTTCCTGTTCATGAAGTTCTTTCAGTGTTCCTCATCAGGTTCCCTTTATGTTCCCTTGTGGGTCTCTTAATGTTCCCTTCATATTCACTTTATATTTCTTTCAGTGTTCCTGTTTAGCTTTTCACCTATGTTCCATTGATGTTTCCTTATTGTTCTCTTTAAGTTCCTTCAGTTGTTACTTTAAATTTCCTTAATGTTACCTTTATATTTCCTTTATATTTCCAAAAAATTTCTTCCAGAATTCCTGTTTAAGTTTCCATTCATGTCCATTGGTTATTCTCTTTAAGTTCCTTTTATGTTTCCTTTAGTTTCCTTTATATCTGAATAAAATTCTTCCAGGATTCCCAATCCCTTGTTCTTCTCTTTAAGTTCCCTCATCTTTGCTTTAAGTTCCCTTCTCCTAGCATTTCCTTGTTGTTCACTTTATGTTTCCTTAATGTTGCCTTCAAGTTTTTTCAGTATTCCCTTTTAAGTGTCTGTTGATGTTCCCTAAATATTCCCTTGTTCTTCTCTTTAAGTTCTCTTCATGATCTCTTTATCTTCGAGCTCCCTGGACAGTTTCATAAAGTTCTCCTTGTGTTCCCTTTATGTTTCTGTCTTTGTGTCCTTCTTGTTCCCCCTCATTTTACTCTTCATGCTCTTGTTGATTATTATTTTTCCTTCACATCTCCTCAATGCAACTTGTTGATGTTTGAGGAAATTCTGCTTCTGGCTGTGAGAACATGAGAACATGAGGTTCTGCATTTGCAGACTGTTCTGTGGGGTTTGTTCGGGGCTAACAGACAGTTTGGTGTTTTTATACTCAGGGAACCTGATCTGTGTGTTTAACCAGTATGGAACGTCACAGTTTAGCTCAAATAAAATAAAATAAATCAATCCAAAGTCTCTGGAGTCTTGGGCTTTACAGGTTTCACTGTGAAGGGTTCTACTGAGCATGCTCTGTGGGAATGGGAACCTTGTGGAGGAATCTTAGGTACCATCTTTCAGTTCCTTGTACAGTCCTTCTTAATACATTAATACAGAAGGAAAGTTCTGATGGAAGAACTGAAGACGTTCAGCAGGAACAGAGATCAACAGCGAGAAGGTCAACAGAACGTGTTTTGAAGTTAATAAAGATTTAATATTTTCTGTTTTAACCTTTACAGAACTTTGAACTGAGGCACAGAGATCAAAATGAAGGAACCTTCAGTTCCCTGGAAAGTTCTTCACATCAGTTCCTAAAACTGGAACTCAATGTTTGATTATGATACATGATTGAAGACGACACACAGTTTTCAGATAAATTTTTCATTCACTGAGATTTTACTTTCATAGAATGTATTCTGTCAGACGCCTGAAACACGTTTATTATTATTAATTACATGAGCACATATTCAATGAAGTTCATATTTAAACATAACATTTTGCTCCCAGTTTTCAGATCAAAAATTACACTTTGATCTGATTATTGATCCACCTCTTCTGTTCTTTCTGACATCTAAACAAACATATCTGTGTTCTCAGAATTGGTTCTCAGATGTTGGAGAGTCTAATAAAGTCTGATTTTCTGCTTGACAGAACATCGCAAATCTCTGAGGAACAATGAAGCAACATGAAACAAACCAAACCAAACCAACAATAAAAGCAGTTACTGCAACAAATGAATTAAAAACACAGAAAACATCACAGCAAAAAGGTTTAAATACATGAAATCAAGTGATGCAGGTTGAAGTGACCTGATAAAGACATAACATCTTCTGAAAAAGTGAATAAATTAAATTATTTATTATCAAAAGCTTCATGTTTTTCTAACTTTTCATCTGTTTGTGAGTAAATGTATTATCTGATTAAAATGATGCAGTGAACAGTAAAATCAAATACTCACAGTAAAAGTAACATCAGTACTTGAGTACATGTACTGTCACCCATTGACAGAGCGCCACAATAAAAGTCCTGCATTTTTATGTGATTTTAAGGATTTTAAGTGGCAGAAAAGAAAAACAACACATTTTAATGTTTGTTGTCTGTTTTAATATTTGTTTTTAGTATTAAAATTTGTATTACTTATTATTATTTCTTTGTGTTATATACAATTTTATCATTTACATTTTGATTATTTGAGTTTTTGTTCAGATTTAATATTTCTTGTTTTAATTTTTCAGTTTTTATCATTATATATATATTTTTTATAGTTTTTATTATTTTGAGGGTGAACTTGTTGTGTTTTGTGTGAGCTGCGTTGTTGTGCCTGCCGAGGTATCGACTGATTAAACCTCTGTTCAGGTTTGTGGTTGAACATTAAACCTGCAGACTGATCTGTTGTTGTTGTTGTTGTTTGCGTGTTTTGCGCCTTTAATGCAGCGTGTCAGTAGATAATCCGTCTGTCTGTCTGACCCAGTTTGTGATCCGACTCCAGGTCACATCAGAGCCTTTAAACATCTGCCAGCATCCCGACAGACCTGATCCTGATTCAGATCCAGATCTGGGATCAGCCTGAACCTCTGCAGACAGTAAAACATGCTGATCTGACGGCTGCAGTTGATTCGATTGAAGCTGAAACTTTCCCTCCTTTAATTGATCCATTCTTCATGAACAGATTCATGATCAGAACAACTTTACATCATATTTTCATTTCATTTGTATAAATTATTTAGGATTTACATAAAGTCCAAAGACACATTTCACCTGTTTATACCTGAGGTCACCTGTGCTGCATTCAAAGCTTCAACTTCCTACTGTCTGAACAGAAAACCACATCAGGAGGTTCAGCTTGTATCAAGAACCGCATTCACAGAGATTTTAAATCACATCTGGAGCAGAATATCAGAAATGTTTGTGTGTGACAGATTTCCTCAAACAGCAGCTGCAGCGTTCACCTGAACTCAGCTGCTGCACCTTGATTACATCACACAGTTCTTCACCTTTTCTCTTTACCTTAAAGGATCCTTCTGCTCCATTCATCCTGAGTGCCTCTGTGGCTCAGACTGATGACAAACCCAGTGTATGGACATTTATTAAACTGCATCAGAGATCTACTTTCTGTCTGACCTGATCACCCTCATATTCATCTTCCACTTTGTTTCCATGCGAGACTGTTTGAAACTCAGCGGCTCATTGTGATGGAGGATCAACTCGCAGCTCATTTCAGTTTGATTGTCCTCATAAACAGTCCGAAAAGAAAAAACAACTCAAAATGTCCCACATGACAAAAATTATTCAAAGGCACAAAAAAGTTTCCAAAATTACTCGAAAATTTGTCCAAAATAGCCTAAATTTGATTTGTCCAAACTGATGAAACATTTGACAAAAATGGACAAAATATGTCCAATCTAGCTTGAAACTTGTCCAAAGTTTCGAAAATGTATCCCAAACAATTTAAAATTAATCTAAAATAGGAAAAATTCAGCACAGTTTGTATCACAGCAGACTTCAGGCACATAAAGTGACAGCTTCCTTGTTGTTTGTTGAACATCATCAGTAATCTGATTACTGGAAACTGAAGTTACAGTAACGTGTTCAGTAAAACATCTGAGGCTGATTTCATTGTCCTTTAATACAAACACTGAGTCACTCCAGACAAGTTTCGGTTCTGTTGGGGTTTATATCTGTTGAATATTTCCCCTGCTGCCCTGCGGAGCTCCGGATGGGGGCGCTGTGATGCTGCCGAGGAGCCGCTGAGCAGCGGGGAGTCCGGGGGAGGAGCAGCGCCAGTAACCGGACACCGACTGTCGGAGCGGCTGCTGGCCGGTCAGAGCGCAACGAAGCCCGGTGGCAGCAGACAGCAGCGGGGCGGAGAACAGAGTCACACCGAGGAGCAGCAGCCGAGCAGGGGCAGCGTGAGGCGGAGGCTCCGGTCCTCCCTGCCGGACTTTAACGGGCTTTAAGCCGCTCTCAGCGCCTCCTCCCGCCGCTCCGTTACCGGAGTTAAAGTGCTGAAGTAGCGGAGCTCCGAGACATGAAGAAGAACAGCTCCGGGAAACGGGTGAGTGTTAACGGAGCACACAGCGGCCACCGGAGGCTCCGAACAGCCGCTTTTCTATCGTTAAAACCGTAAAAACTGTTAGAACCGTTATACCGGAGCGCCAGGGACAAAAGTAATCCTTTTGTTCTTTAAGCTTTTATTCTGAAGGAGAGCATAGCCGCTGATTAAAGCCGAACTTCGATTTTCACAATAAGAGCCTCATTAATGATTTAAAAAGTGATAAAAACAGAGGATGGTGAGCTTATGGGCTGTAGGAATCCACAGTTATAAAAGCAGGACACACCGCGAAAGTTTCACACTACAGCTGTTTGATAGACTTAGATGACAACGATGTGACCCAGACACCCAAACGCAACACAGGCTGACCTCACAATAAGTCGTCAAAACAAGACACCACAGACCAAAAGGAAAGATTTGATCATCTGCTCATTAATTACAAGATGTCGCTCCAGGAAATGTCTAAGCTAAGCAGATGCTGAGCTAGTCAGATGCAAAAACAGTCATACCCCAAACTAGCCAGATGCTAGGCTAAACAGATGACAAGCCTGTCAGATGCTAATCAAGTCAGACCCTAAGTTTGTCAAATTGTAAGTGTGACCCACTTATTATTGCTAAGCTTGTCAGGTATTAATATAGTTACACCCTAAGCTAGTTCGGTGCTAAACAAACCAGATGCTGCTAGTTAGATGCTGAGTAATTACATAATATGAAGCATGTCGAATGCTGGCCTCAAGATATGCTGCTCAAGACAGACACTAAGCTAATCTGATGCAAAGCAAGTCAGATGTCAAGCTAAGCAGGTGTTAATTTAGTCAAATAATAAACAAGTCAGATACTAAGCCAGTCAAATTTTAAAAAATCCAGATGCTAAGCTTGTCATATGGTAAGACACACAGAGGCGAGCAGACTGAGCTCTGAATACTAACTGATGGGGACTACAGGATCTTCTGTGTACACACCAGCATCTACTGATGAGTGTGAGGCATTTAGGGACCTTCTGGAAACTGAAGATTTCAAAAGTGGAACAGTTTGGAAAAGTGTTTGCCTACGCTGACTGCTTCTGTTACCTGTTACCTGTTTCAGGGTCCGGCGGACTCGGTGCCGCAGAACGCTCCACCGGACAAAGTGGGCTGGATCAGGAAGTTCTGCGGGAGGGGCATCTTCAGAGAGATCTGGAAGAACAGATTTGTGGTTCTCAGAGGAGACCAGCTGTTCATTTGTGAGAAAGAGGTGAGTCGGGGGGCGGGGCCAACAGGTGCCTGACACCCCTCTCTCTGTCAGCTGACAGATGCTGTCACCTCATTTGGAGCTTTAATTATCACCGTGGTAACCAGGTGTCAGAGGATGTCATAGGGAGAGTCAGCTGAGGGGGACATCACATGTGAGATCATTACATCATCACCTACCTCATTAGCTACTAAAACAGATTTAAAGTGTCAGAATGTCATTGAGAACATCTAAAATAATCAATAATCGATGATCTCTTCAGATTGTTGATCAATAATCAATAATCTAATGTAACCCTTCAGTTGTATTTTGAATTTGAACAGGATGTGTCTCCAGGTTCTGCTAAACATTTCCTTCATCACATCCTTGAACTGAAGAAAGAAGTAATCAGAGTACTGTGAGTACTGCAGTAGTGAGTACTCTGTGTAGTGTAGTTACATGTTCCTCTGGCTTCTGCAGTTTTCGTTCATTCTGCAAACAGAAAGTTTCTCCTCCACTTTCTACAGTCAATGTTCTGCAGGAGTCGAGTTTCAGTCTGAACTGCAGACACACAGAGAGCTCCGGTTTCAATGCTGCAGCACAGACCAGAACGTCCTCATAGAACCTTGAATACATACAGAACATCCTCATAGAATCTTTATCACACTGAGAACATTCTTATAGAATCTTGAATACATATAGAACATTGTAATAGGACCTTTATTACATACAGAACCTCCTTATAGAATCTTTATCACAATGTGAATATCCTCATAGAACCATTGTCAAGCTGAGAATGTCCACATAGAACCTTTGTTTACATGGAGAACGGCCACATAGAACCTTTGTCACACATAAAATGTCCTTGTAAATCCTTTATCACGCTAAAAACGTCCTCATAGAACTTTTATCACACACAGAATGGCCCTATAGAACCTGTATCACACTGAGAATGTCTTCATAGAACCCTCATCACATAGAGAATGTCCTCATAGAACCTTTACCACACAGAGAACATACCTATAGAACCCTTATCATGCTGAGAATGTTCTCGTAGAACCGTTAACACACACAGAGAATGTTCTTAGAGAACCTTTATCTCACAAAGAACGTCCTCAGGTCAGAGTTTTGGTGTCTGTCAGCTGAGTGTCTGAGGTGCATTCAGGGTCAGAGTTTCAGTTCCGTGGTTAATTTAGGAAGCGCAGAACTTCTGTGGAAGTGATGTGTTCTTCGGTTCCTCTTTCTGACGTCACTCATTCGTCTTCGTCAGCGGTCACATGACCCCTTAAAGCTTACTGAAAACTGTCTCAAGACCAAATTAGGACGTCGAAGTGTCGCTGTTGTTTGAGGTTCAGTTTAGCAGAAGTTACACCATCAACAGCAACTTCCTGATCGACCAAAACAGAAACTGAGAGTGGCACCAGACAAACCACACACTAACCAGACAGACACACATATGCAGAAACACACACGCACTCTGACCACATGTTTTAAACTCGACAGAATCACTCATTGTTCTTTTGCCTCCTCAGCAGCTTCGTCTGTCGTTTGTTTCTGATCAATAAATGTGAGGAATGATTATTGATCAGCTGACTGTCTCAATTACACTTTGTGCCTCTGCTTTTTATTTGTAAATTTCACTGAATAACTTGAGCCGAAATTCTCCAGATGTGTCTCAAATGATCAGTCGATTAATTGTTTAATTGACCAGTTTAATAATTGATTGTAAATCCAAGAAATTTGCTGTTTTTATTTCACTTTAATATCTTTGAATTTGTTTATTGGATTAAAACATTTTACAGACCAAACAATCAATCGATCAGACAGATCGTCTATGAGGTCTTGGATGTGGTTTCGGGTTCAGAGGTCAGTGAATGCATCATGTCCTCACAGGTGAAGACAAACGTGTGTTTTAGGGTCCAAACTATGTCAGTGACAGCAGGTCAGAGACATTCTGCACTGAGGGATGATGGAAGATGTAGCTCAGTTTAACTCAGAGCTGAAGTTCAATCTGTGACAACAATCTGTGTCGAAGTTTCAGCTGTTTTCTGACTTCATGAGACATTATCTGATATTTTTTATATTACCTATATAACTATATTTTATGGAGTTTTCGGTCACTGTGGGTTACAGCTAATGATTAGTGTCATTATTAATTCATCGACAGATTATTGTCCTGATTCACTGACTGATGGTTCGAGACAAACATCTGTTATAATTTCTGACAAATCAAAGTAGCATTTATAAGCTAGTCCTGTCATCAAGTCACAGCAAATGTTTGACATTTTCATTTAAACCTCTGAACTCCAGCAGCAGTTTCTAGTTGTTTTTAGCTCTGTCTCATATTTCAAAAGCAGTATACAGAGGAGCAAATTGTTGAAAGATACACTCGGCATGGGGAAATAGTATTAACAATAATGAAATAGCTACATACAGCAACGTTAAAAAAGACCATTATTGAGTCATCACAACAATTTTATTATTTTCCATCAATTCAGAAATTCCATTGATCAACTGATTATTGCAGAAACACTGACATGAAGAGAGTTGTGTGTCCACATATAAATATCATGTTTGACACACACAGTAACACACACACACACACACACACACACACTGTGGATTATTGTGAACAGATGGAGGTTAAAATGTTTAGAAGCAGAGTCTGTTTTCATTCAGACAGTCGTGCTCTGATTGGCTGCCCGGCCTGTCAGTCAGGTCACATGAAACCAGCTCTGACCGCAGCACTGTCGTTTGATTGGCTGAGTCATTAATACAGAGTTTGACTCCATAACAAACAGACTGATTGATGTGACAGTCAGAGGACAATCATTATGTAACTGTAGAACTGTACTGTGAATATTGATGATTGATTAAATGAGTGATGATGTAAGACATGGTGTTCATCAGGGTTCAGACTGGTTCAGGTTCAGGGTCAGAGGTTCTGTTCAAACACTGACCCAAGCTCAACCTAAAACATACTCAGTGCCAACAAACTGGAGAAAATAAACCCATGAATCTGTTCCAGAGCTGTGAATGAACTGTCCAGAAGTCAAAGAGCTGCTGAGAGGCTCAGAAACTGTTTACAGACTGTTCAGAAACCCTTTAACAAAGTGGCAAAAAACTGACCAATCAGCTGTTCTACACCTGTGCAGGAACTAAAAATAACCTGTCCTGAACTGTGGATCCACCACTGAAGTAAAACTGCAGAGAAACAACCACACTGCCAGCTGCTGCAGTTACATTCTGAGTGTGTGTGTGTGTGTGTGTGTGTGTGTGTGTGTGTGTGTGTGTGTGTGTGTGTGTGTGTCGTGGGCGTGGCCTCCCTCCCAGGAAGTCTCAGTTTAAATCTGGTTAATAATGGATGCTGTTTCCATGGAGACCAACGGGCTGAAACCTGCAGGAGACATGCTAACATGCTAACAGCTGCTGCAGATTCCCGTTGGACACAATGTCTGTGTGTGTGTGTGTGTGTGTGTGTGTGTGTCTGTGTCTGTGTCTGCATGTCTGTCCTGCATCAGGTGGAAACATGAACGCTGAGCTGCATAAATATTCGACAGTAAACACAGCAAATCAGCTGATGGTAGAGGATCAGTGCTGCTCCGACACCTTACAACAACACCACGTCTACACAGCAGACCTGTCCTACGCTGTCAAAACCTGTTTAAAAACAAAGTAAAATTGGCCCAAAACTGACCCAAGCTGTCTGAAGCAGCCAGAACAGTCAAGAATTGTCCAGAACTACATAAAAATGTCCAAACCATCTAAAAACCTTCTGAAACCATTCAAACATGATCGAAAAAGTATATCAACCAAACAGAAAACTGTAAATCAAACTAAGCTGACAGACAAACTGTCCAAAAATTATAGAAATCAATTGAAAGAAAAGGAAACTACAAAACAGCTTTTTATTTGTATTTTTCTAATATTATGATAATATTGTTTCATCACTTTTCATAAACTGTTAATATTTCTGGGTGTTTTTTTTTTTGGCTGTTTCATTAATGTGTTTCTCAGACGTTTCTGGACAGCAGAGCTGCTAATGGATCATCAATAATTCATCAGGTAAACAGATACAGGCTAAAAAAAGATCAACTCACTGAACAGCAACTCTTCCAGGTTATTCCCGTAAAGCTTCATGGGAAATGATGTTCCATCTTAGAACCGGACAAAGATGGTAACGAAGAAAACACATGAGTTGTTATAGACCGTGATAGACTGAACAATATCAATATCAATATCAGCACTGGGATCAATACCGATCACTGGAAAATCTGATTCTGGAGGAAGGTAGGAACTCACCTGGTGTGGGCGGGGCCTGAGTCCTCCATATTTACAGTGTCAAAACAAAAACTGAGAGTAAATTTGTTTGATGAAGAAGTGGTTCTCTATGTGTCACCCCCTCAGCCAGGACACCTGACTCACCTGTCCAAACACCTGTGTAACCTGTATATTACCTGTGTTAGTTACCTGTGTGTCACCGGTATATTACCTGTCTACAGGTGAAGGAGCTGGGTCGGGCTGACGAGGTGTTGGACCTGTCGGACTATGAGCGCTGTGAGGAGATCAGGAAGAACAAGAGTCGCAGCAAAAAGAACCACAGCAAGTTCAGACTGCAGCGCTGCAGCTCACCAGGGAACTCGGTACACCTGAACACACCTGTACATGCACCTAAACACACCTGTGTATATACAGCTGTGAACAAGTTTACATTCGCTTTTATAGACCAACGCAGAATTTTCTAGAATGGAATCACTGACACATGAGTTTTTGTCACACAACAAAAACAATAATTTAGGTTCTTTCATAGATTTATTGAAGGTCTTCTGGAAATCTGCTGAGTCAAAAATATACATACAGTAACTCAGTCCACATGGTTCCTGATGGGGTTTCAACTCAGGACTTTGGGGAGGCCAGTCTAAAACCTTTATTCTAGGCTGTTTTATTCACTTCATTACCATTTTTATGTGGTTTTGGGTCTTGTCTTGTTGGAACACCCAACTGTGTCGAGGATCCGACCTTCTGGCTGATGATTTGAATTTTCCTGAAGCATGTGGAGGTAATCTTCCTTCTTCATTATTACACTTACTTTGTGTAAAACACCAGCTCCACTGGCAGCAAAACAGCCCCAGAGCATAATACTGCTACCACCACCATGCTTGCAGGTAGGTTTGATGTTCTTGGGGTTAAAGGCCTCACCTTCTCTCCTCCAAACATAGTTCTGCTCATTGTGGCCAAATAGCTACATTTCTGTTGAATCTGACCACAGAACTTTCCTCCAGAAGGCCTTTCCTTTGTCCATGTGATCAGCAACAAACTTCAATTGAGCTTTAAGGTTCTGGGATTCAAGTTACTGTTTGTATATTTTGACCCAGCAGATTCTGTCATATTTCCTGGTTGTTTGCTCTTCGTGTTTTTTGCTCCTGTTGTGTTTTTTACTGACTATAGTTTCATTTTTCACTGCAATATGAACCACCTCTATGGAAACAGAGCAACCATGAAGAAGGAGAGAGAACTCAGAAATGTCTTCTGTCAGTCTGACACAGAATGATGGAAATCAGAAAAAAGAAACATTTCTTCAATTCTTCATTTTACAAAAACGTATAAAACCTGGAATCAGCATGTCCAACATGTTTCCAAGTGTCTGCTGGAAAAAATGGAGGCTCCACATACTATAGATATTTAAATATTTCCATGTTTACAGCCTCTACAGACATTTTCTCTCTACTCTGTACATCAGCTGTAGGAAGATGTTTCATCGTGCTGAACGTAGCTTCCAACAACTTGTAGCTCCTCTGTAAATGTTTTTTTATTGATCCAGTAGGTTTTATTTTCCTCTCAGTCCCTCTTGTTGTCTCCTCTGCTCTGATTTTTTGAAGATAAAACGTCTTTTAAACCACAGGTTTAAACTGATTTAACATCCATATGTGGATTTTATATTCAAGTCAGAGAAATAGAAACATGTTTTCCACATTAAGGCTCATTATAAAGATCTGGGTCACCTAGATGAGGTTCTGGTTTTGGATCAGCTGTGATGTTTCATTGCTGCTTTAAAACAAACAGGAGGCTCAACAACGGGGAGGAGTTTCAGATGGAAAAGCTCAGATTCATCAAACTGTCACCACACTGACATGATGTTGTAGTTTGTTCTTGTTCACCTGCAGCTCGGTTCTGTCGGTTCTGCTTCTGCTCATGTGCAGCTCTGTGAGACAGAAGCAGGTCGTGTTATTGCTGCAGCTCAGCAGCTGACTGAACACAGCTGTGCATTCTGCTGCGACACTTTCCTCGACAGCAGCGCAGCAGATGGACACAAATACCCAGAATGCACTGCGAGGGGGGGTGTCAGGTGTCCTGCAGCTTCTGTTACATATAGATTCCTGTACTTGTGAGGATCATGAACAGCAGGCCTTTCTAACCATCCCATAATGCAACAGTGCAGAATGAGCACCGAACAACTCAGCTGATTCTGATCAGTGTCTTTTTCTGTGTGTTTGTTCCTGTTGCAAGTTTTGAACCAACCAGAGGTTCTGAACATGTTACCAAACTGACAACAGACTAGAACCTGTCAGACTCTGATGGACTCTCTCTCTTAGTAAAACTGCGTGTGTGTGTGTGTGTGTGTTGCAGATTCCCAACCTGTGCTTCGTGTGTTGCAGATTCCTTAGCTCTTCTGTTTGTGTTGCAGGTTCCTAACCTGGTCTTCCTGGCCGTCAGTCCAGAGGATAAAGAGTCGTGGATCTCCGTCCTGAACACCGCTATCACCAGAGCCAAGAACCGCATTCTGGACGAGGTGGATCTAAATTTATTGTTCTCTCTTCTGTTCCTGAGAATCGAGCTCTAAAGAGAAACAAACAGAAAGTAGAAAGTGAGCTGCCAGCATATATTTTCAATCTGAAGCAGCTCAGTCAGCTGTTAGCAGATCCTGTTGTTGACCTTTTTTGTTTGGTTTTTAAACAGTTCCTCAGAGGTTTCTGGACAGTTTGGATGTTTTGGGGCATTTTTTGGAACGTTTCAGATTGTTTTAGATTGTCGACAGCTTATGGATGTTTTTGCTGCATTGTTGGAACCTTGTCATCACGTTTCTTTGGTCCAGTTTGTGCAGTTTTAGGCAGGTTCTGTTTAGTGTTTGGTGAACAGGTGCTTTGGGATGATTTTCAGAGTTTCCGATTGGTTTTGTTTTGCACAGTTGGGTTGCTTTTTGGTTCTTTTTTCTTTGGTGCTGTTTATGCAGTTTAAGAAAGGTTGATGTCAGATTTAGTTCAGTGCTGAAGTATTTCGGAGGCGTCTGCAGGTCTCACTTTAGAAGCAGTGTTTCCTGTGTTTGTGTGCTGACAGCAGCAGGATGTGTGTCAGAGCTGCTTTTCCACCTGTCAATACTCTGATCAATGCGCTGATCGATAATACTCTGACTCTGTCGCACACTGTGTTCCAGGCTGCACTACAGCCACATTCATGTAGTATTGATGTTGTGGTGTTTTCCATCTAGGGAATCACAGTGTGCAAATTCAGAGCTACAAACCGATGATCAGACTCAGTTTAAAGTGTTAAAATGTTGATTGTGCTGAGAGTTCGTCTTATGATCAGAACAAACAGAAACTCTTCTCAGATGATGGACTCAAAGTTTTATGAATCTAATTTCTTGGATAGACATCCTCAGACAAAGACAGCAGGTGTGTATTCACCTGAAATCTTAAACATTTCTTTCATGGTATGTGCGTCCTGATTTGCTCTCACAGACAGTGACTCCTGATAATAAACCTGCCTCCAGGAGTCTTTTAAATGAGTCGACTGTGAACTTAGAACCCACTTTAACCAGAACCTGTTCAGTATGAGTAGAGTGGAGGACCTGCAGCTCAGTAAAGTTCAGGAGTGTAGTGTTCCATCATGGGCCTCCTGACGGTCTTACCTGTGATGTTAAAATCCTCCCTGAGGGCAATAAATCCTGTCTGGCTTTTCAGAAAATAGCAATATAGAAAGCACTTAAATAAAAGTTGAGATATGAAAATGTAGAAATTAAATAAAGATGTAAATTTAATAATGTCCTTTCAGTATTGAATTGCATTTATTTTGATTAATGCATTTTTAAAACACATTTCTAAACACTCAAGTCATTTTTGTCTAAAAACTGATGGAAAAACTGGCATTCAATAAAACAACTTATCAGACAGTATTTACTGTACTGTACTGTACTTTTTTGTTTGTTCATTTATACTTCAAGGCTCAATTAATCGATGAGGTTTTTAATTATTAAATTAGGCTCCAACTATTCAATAATCAATCAGTTTGAGTAATTTTTCAACTCTGTGATTGCAGCTTCTTCAGTGTGAACGTTTTCTGGTGGCTTTCCTCTATGACAGTAAACTGAATATTATTAGACTGAACAAGACATTTGAGGAAACAGTGATCTTCATGTTTCACTATTTTCTGACATTTTAGAGACAAACTGCTGATTGATGCTTCCAGAAAATATTGAAAATTATTCTCATTTGCAGCTGTAATGTTCACTGTGTCATATTAAACCCAGTAAACTGACTCCAATATCCAATTCTGTGTTTCAGGTGATGGTTGAAGACTCTCAGCTGTCTCATTTAACTCGAGATCGAGTGAAGATTCCTCACAACCGCCGGCTGCCGACCAGAGGTCACCTGCTGGCTGTGGTCAGTATCAGCTTCATTACCTCCTCCTCTGCTTCATCGCAGAATCAACAAAAATCTTACAGATGCTCACAAATTCACTTTGCTGAAACATATTCACAATAACGTGGTTAGTCAGGGAGTTTATGAGCAAATTACCACCAATCAGAATGATCGTTGATTATTTCTGCTAAATAAAATCTGTCTCATAAAATGTTATCTGTACATAAACTTAACCGGTATTGTATTAAATAACTCCTATTTACAGCTGATAGATTCAAATTGCAACTTATTTTTCATATATTTTTCATATTTACAAGAAATCTCAGCTCAAAGGCCCCACATACGTTTCCATGGCAACTGAGCAAATGATGAAGACATGGTGAAAAAAGCTCCAGTTTCCAGATAATCAGCATTCAGTAGTGATCAGGATTTTATTCAATCATAGCGCTAGTTACAGATGGCTAAAGTTGCTGCAAATTATTTTCTTAAGCAGCAGTTGGTAGCATTATAAATCAATCAATCTGGATTTTGTAAACTTTACTCCATATGCTGATATAGCTATTTTTAATCATGGGCACATGAACAGCAGCTTAATAACATTAGCTTCGTGACTATAATAACATCCCAGTGGAGTGCAAATTATTTTGATTACGTGAGCGCTGTTTGGAGGTCATTAACCTCCACAGAAGTCCTTGTCATGGTGCCCAGTGCTAACTAAACTCCTACAATGCTCACTGCTTGCCATCATGAACAGCCTGTAGTCTGAGTGATGTGTCCTCTGGTCTCTAGAATATTAAACTGTAAGAGGCGCCACCTAGTGGAACAACCCGGTACTATAGCTAATCTGCAGTACATTTTCTGACATCATGACTTTCTCCTTCTTCCCTATTAGTGAATATTTTTTTTTAGTCAGTTAAAATATTAACAACAATTAATCATTTAGTGGTTGTCATAACCATTCGTAGCCTCAGGTGTATCAGTGGTTGACCCGCCTCTTCTCTGCCTTCAGGCGTCCACCTCATCCTCAGATGGGATGCTGACTCTGGACCTGATCCAGGAGGAGGATGCTGCGTCTCCTCAGGGCACTGATGGCTTCAGGGTCGACCTCGATAAATCCCACCTCACTCCACACTGTCCCAGGTCCAAAACAGATGGCGCCATCTCAGCTCGGACCTCCGAGGCTTCTGGGAAGTCTCAGAGTCTTCCCCGTGAGGTGGCAGTGGTGTGGGAGCAGACGGGCCCGGCCCAAACCCCCCAACCAGGAAAACGCCTCACAACAGCAGAGAAGAACCGCTGTGCCTCCATGGACGAGATCCTGACACACTCTGAGACTAAAGCTGCCAAGAACAAAACAGTGTCTTGTACGTCGGCTTCCTCGCCGACCAGCACAGCAGCGCCCATCAGCCAGCTGCAGGACCTCATCGGTCAGAAGCTGGAGAAGACGGAGCAGCTGCTGACAGAGGTCCGGATGCACGCTGAGGGGGAACGGGGGAAGTCAAAGGGCGGGACTGATGGAACGCGAGCTGAAGCCGAGAGGCTCCTGAAAGAGGCGACGGCGGCCTGGAACCAGGCCCGCGAGGTTCTGGAGGAGGTAAAGGAGCTGAGGGCGCTCTACCGACAGTTGGACTCCACCTCCGCCATCAGCCCCTCCAACAGCACCAAACTGAGCCCCGACCGCAAGAGCCTGATGTAAACCGGGCCGACTCAGACAGGTGGGAGCTTCTTCAAACTGGTCAGAGCTGGTTTAGACTGGTAGGAGCTGGTTCAGACTGGTAGGAACCGGTTCAGACCAGTCCAGTCCAGTCCAGTCCAGGTAAAGACACAAGGCTGAAGGCTGAAGCTGCTTCTGTTTGATGGACGTCAGACGAGCTGAGAACTTTAAATTATTTTGACAGATTCAGGTTTTAGTTTTGCAGGAAGCAGGACTGTAGAAGCTCGATGCCCACAGGTTCACAACACACCTCCTTCAGAAACATCCAGACCTGGATTTCCAGGTTCCCTAAGTCTCCTATCGACTGTCTGATCGGTGGTTGTTAAAAAAGCGATAGCACGGGTACTTTAAAGGAAACTTTTCTGTTGTCAAAGTGGATAAAAATGTGCCAAGAGGAGAGTTTGGAGACTAATCTGTGGTCCTGGATCCTTCATGTTCTGCTCTGAGGTTTCTTTGGAGGAACATTTATGCAGCTGGACGGTACGAATACAGGATGTAGTGGAGCTGTGAGTCTCAGAGGTGAAGGCCTTTTTTAACTGATCATCTTTATTGATTTGGAGGACTATTAAGGAGAACTTTTATTTTAAACCACAGACGTGTCTGTACGGAACAACAGAAGATGTGATAACTGCAGCAGCAGTGGAGGCTTTTTGGGAGTAAATGGTATTTTACTCACCCTTTCTGGAGCTTTTAACACCATCCCATTACCTTCTTCAGCAAAAAATGACCTGCTCAGGGGTCATTAACGGTTTTAAGGACCTTCAGTTCTTTTCTTTACACCTGCAAGGAGGTTCTGCTGCCATCAGGTGCAGGTCCGTTACTTGGTTCTAAATCAGTTGGTGTTGCTGGTTTTGGTCTCGTTTTCAGTTTTAGAACGTCACGTCAAAACTAGTCCCACCTTCACAGAACACCTGCTGTTCTCTGAAAGAAGTTCAGTTCATAACGGACTGAAGAAGGCTGTGTGATGTGGTTGAAAGCTCCTGAAAGGACTGGTGAGCTTTTCCACAAAAAAAAAAGTAAATGTAATATGACTGTAGATGAAGAAGTTGATAGTGAAAAGACATGTCTTCCCTGAATCTGGTCCTAGTTTCTTTGGGTTTTTTGGGTCCATTTAAGTTTGTGTCCAACAGCTGTCATCTATGTGAGCTCAGGCTGAAACTCATCAATATTTCCGCTGTCAGTTAATCTGTCCATTATTGTCTGGATGACTCAATCAGTCGTTTGGGTAAAACCATGAATCAGTGTTTCCTCAAATGTCTTCTTTTGGCAAATATATTTAGTTTACTGTCATAGAGAAGGAAAGAAACCAGAAAATATTTACACTGAAGAAATTTCAATCAGAATTTCGCCAGTTTTTATTTTAAAATTCCTTAACGGAGGATTAATTTATTAGTTGGCAGCTGATTGATTTTTATTGTTCTGCTATAAATTTCTAATATTTTACTCATCCCACAAAAGGCAAAGTTTTAAAAGACAATTACTCTGCTACACAGAATAAATAAAGTTAGAAATAGTTAAAGTACACAGAATAAAGGCAGGTTATGTCGGAAAGTCATTTTTTTCAGGTGTGTTTACCTGAATAGGTACTGTTCACCCCTGGGTTTGTCCCATTTCATGTTGGTACTATGTTCTGGACCTTTAAGACGTCTGGACTCAAACTCTTCTTTCTGAATGTTTTCAGGGACCATTGGCCTTCAGGCTCAGCTGTAGATGTTTGTAAAGAAAGTGAAGATTCTGTTCACTTTGAGGTCAACCCACCAATCCTCAGTAAACCTGAAACACCTCCAGACACAAACTGTGACTGTTTGTCCGTGCAGGTATCAGGACCTGCTGCGCTAGCAAAGCTAACTAAAAACAAACAGTGTGAAATTAAACAAGTCCTTCCAATCGCACTTAATTTTAAATTAGTAGAAAAAGAAAATTAAGAAAAAGACAGCTAACAAGCAAACTAGTTTTCATTGTTGCAACAATATGCTAACTGAACTGGCAAATACATTTAGTGAACACTTGGTACAGATTTAGTGTGGAAGTTTGTTTAAAGTGTTTTAGTCGCCAGACCTCTGTAGCTGCTAAGCTAATATTCAAAGAGCTAGCATTAAGTGGCTAATGATGACTATGGAATAAAACTTTGGCATTCTGGCTACAGTAAACTAAGGACACTGCTAGCTCGCGGTTACCAATTTTTTTTTCCATCCTTTGGGCCGAAAGTAGGATACAGAATGTTCATGCAGTAGTTAACGGATAGCTTTGAAGAAAATTTTAGCTGACTAAATGTACAAACTCACAGTCTGCACAGTTAAAGTATTTTTAGTCATTCTCAAAACCATGAACTCTTTATAACTGTTGAGTCTATATTTAGAGAGGTCACATTAGTTGGCTAATGCTAGCTAGCTATGAATAAGTTAGCATTAGCAGGTACTAGCCAGCTGGGGCTTCATAAATGGATGAAAGGTGAGCTAATACATAACTAACATCTCTGGCTCAACTTGCTGAAAAAATGTTTTAAACTGATTTTCAAAATATGTGTCCTTTATTGCTATGCTACGAACAAAGGTTAACTAGCGAAGTTTAGCTCATGTTAAGCAGCTAAGGACAGACATCTTGTTGTTTGCAGGTAAACTTCTGAAGTTGAAACCATAAGTTGGACTGAAACATGTTTCACTATGTTACAGTCTAAATCAAATAATATTAATAATCAAAACTAATTGAATACTGTATTTATTTTTTGTTTAAAATGGCAAAAAAACAAAAAAAGGCAACATGACTTGTTTTCATGAATTCAAACTAAATAGTCGGTACATGTTTGATAGGTTTTTTTTGTTTTGTTTTTTGAAAGAGACCCAAAACTTTTTAGCACATGAAGTAATAACTGTCATTGCCATGAGCACAGTATAAATAGTCATTAAATATTTCTTTACACAATCACAAAATAATGTGATTTAATGTTAAATTTAAGTCACTTGATTCTATGCTGAAATATAAAAATTCAGATTTCAAAAGCCAGCATTTTGACATTTCAAAAGTATTTTTTCTTCCATCAGGTCCTGATCCTGTTTAGACAAACTTTGCATAACTGGACCAATGAACAGTTTTAATATTTTTTTGTTTTGTTTGAACAAGACTGTAATCTTCATGAGTTTGTTAAATGACTGTCATGTTAAAGTGATGCATGAGGAATCAAACATGCACCTGTGCAGGTACAAACAATCATTCAGAGAAGAGGTTTATTTTTTTAAAGCTACATTTTGTACTAATGAAGCTGCTTGAGAAGTGTGAAGATGATAGAACAGTCAAATGTTGAACCTCCACCTGCTCAGATTCAACAGAGGCTCAACCAGAAGGTACAAATGTGAACTTATACGAAGCAGAACCAACGTTATGTCTGAAACTGGAAATGTTCCTTCAATAAGTGCCAGTGGTTCCCCTGATGTTTGAGACTGTAGAACAGATGGAGCGGCTGACTGGTGGACTGTACCTGCCCGTCTCACCTGTTTAATGAATTTTAATAGTGTGGTTTGTTCTGCTGCTGGAGCCTGAAGCCCAGAGGGGACGATGGGAGATGTAGTGCGGTAGTGAAGCAGGTTCTGGTGCTGTGATCAGTTCATGTGCTAAAATAAAAGCTGCAAACTGAACCTGGATCTGTTTCATTAAAAGGTGCTAACGAGGAAACTGCAACTGCTAATTAGACCTCAGACAGAGAGAGAGAGTGTGTGTGTGTGTGTGTGTGTGTGTGTGTGTGTGTGTGTGTGCTCTACAACAGGTCGAAAGCGAGTCTAAAACAACTGGTCATAAAGCAGACCCACTCCAGGTGTGCTCCAGTGTCAGCAAGTAGAACCAATGTAAAGTACCTGTGCCAAGTGAGACATTTCATTCAAACTGCATGCAAACTCTGTGCTTTAGATTTGTTTTCATGACAAAGCAGTGTCTCCGTGTCGACCCGTGACATGAGGCACACACCTGAGTTCAGAGGTCAGGTGGACAGGTGCTGCCTCATCTCGGTGGCTCGGCAGTCAGTGAATCAGGTCAGTCTGCTTTGTTTGTCTGGAAACGTCGCATAATCAAAACAAATCAAGGCAAAACTATTTACATAAACTAATCTGACAGACACACACCTGAGATACACACACACTCACCTGAGACCAACGGTTTGATGTGTGTGTAGCTAAATCTTGAAATTTCTGAGTGAAGGTTGTTTAAAGATTAGGTTATGGTGAAAGGAAAGTTAGTTTAAAAAAAAAAAAACTGTCATGCCTTTATTTATTTACTTTCTAATTTCAGCTCTCTGTTATAGAAGTCAAACAGTCTGTTAGGCCCCGCCCCTCACTGTCCTGTACGTCCATATAAGGGAAACAGAACGCTTCAGAGAAGAGCCCACACACACACTCAACACGTGAGTTCCGGAAAGCCGATGAAGAGTGTGTGTCAGCTACAAACACACACACACACACACACACACACACAGATTAGAAGTTATTGATCTTATTGATCAATGATCGTATTTGCAGCAGAACTAAAACAAGCCGAGTATATAAAGGCAAGTTTAAAGTGTATCTTGACTTGTAAGTTTTTTGGAATCATAAAGGAACTTGAAAATTGTTTTGTTTCCAGGTTTAATAAGCACCTGAAACACCTGAGAGAAATAAGGCTGTTCAAAGGATGCTGTGATGCAGTGTTGCCTCCTGCAGGCAGAGAGCTGCATCTACAGCAGCACTTTTTAATTAATTTGATCACTTTAATTCTAGCTTCTTTCAAAAAATGTTTCATGAATCTCTTAATCCAGTTCTATTTCTTTTATATTTTATGCCTAAACCCTGATAAAGCTATGTCTTTTATGCCTAACCTAACTTTATGGAGTTATTTCATTGTATCTATCTTAAAATCAAGTTCTCATTATTTTATTTTCATGTCAAAGCAACTATATTTTAATCTCCACTTACTTTTACTATCAGTCATGTCTTTGTTTTATACAGCGCGTTGGATTTAGTACCCATATTTAGGAATGAACAATGAAACTAAACCAAGAAATTCAGGAGGAAATTATATTTCTACAACGGTAAATAAGCCCACTTGCCTTGCATAAAAACAAAAAAACTTTCAAGACAAAAATTAGATTTTTTTTTAATCCCAGGACAAAAACTTTGCATTTAAATTATTAAAATTTGAGTTTCTGTCTTCTGCTGGTGAAGTTTATATTACGCAAAATTTGTTATTATATCTACCATCACTTTTGAAAGAAAAATGTAAAAATAAATGTTAAACTCAATTAGTTTCTTTCCATAACCTGAATCTCTGACAACCTAAATTATTGTTTAGCTGATGAGCTAAATAAAGATGAAATAAGTCAGCAAATTTTTGTGGTTTTGTCAAGCGACCAGACTGAGAGGAAACGTGGAGAATTCAGTTTTTATTCAAAAACACGGCGGTTACAGCAACACGATCAGAAGACAGGAATAAAAAAATAAAATTAAGTCGGAGACGAGGAGAGTCGACTCCGGCTGCACGTTTCCAAACTCAACACGACAAGTCAGGGTCAAGGAGACGACACCACAAAACCTACACAGACCAGTTCACTTCTATTTACATGGACCTGAGACCCACTGAGGCCCACTGAGACCCTGGGAGGAGCCAGAAGGGGAGCTGCAGACGGACAGGTGGCAGGTGAGAGGGGGCGGGGTTAATGCATTAACAGTCAGTTCAAACACCAGGAGGCATCAACTACAAGTCCCAGAGTGCACTGCTTTGAGACACATCAAATCAGAGAGCAGAAATCTTAACGGGATTATCTTTTGAACCAATCAGCAGCTGCAGTGGAAACAGTTCTGATGTCACAGCGCTGAGTGGAAGGGTCTCCATGGCGACAGCTGCGGAAATTTTCTGGGTACTGTCGTATTCAGAGTCACAGAGCAGACTGACCGGAGGAAAGTTTGAAGAGAAGCTAAGCTCAGGGTCAGGAGAAATGGAAGAAACCAATAAAAGCTGAACTGGTTTCACTGGGAGAACTGGAGAACCCAGAATTTGAGTTCCTGTCTACACCTAATCAAATCTTCTCCACAGCAAATGTAAATCAGTTCGATCACGACGATCATCCACAGCGATAATCAATAAACTGACAGATCAAACAAAGCTGACAGGTTCTACTGAAACTTGCTGCATTTAACAGAATCTACGATTTTCTTTTTACTGAATCAAACCTGTTTTTCTTTCAGCACAGCAACAAAACTAGTTTCCATCATTTGTGAGCAAAAGATTTAACTCAATATTTAAATCTCTGAGCCCCAAAACCTGCCGGCAGGTTTGAAACATGGTATATTGGGGGAAAAAAAATAAAAATTCTCCATAATGTCACTATTTATCATTAAAAAACGGTAAAAACAAAGAATCAGCACATTTTCAGCTTTCCAAAGGTCCAACTTCAAGTAATGATCTGTGATGGGCCATATCTTATTTTGTAAGTCTCATTTAAAAATTAGCTAAATTAAATGTTTGCTCTTACCAAATGTAAAAAACAAAAAGTTCTTCACTCCTGCTTAAGACTGATTTTCCATAGCTGATATGAAAAATTCTGAGTTTACAGGTGAACTGGATCAATAAATTGAACGCAGCATGGCTCAAAAACAGTTCAGCATGGTGAAACATCTTTCTACAGCTGATAGAGAGAAAAAGTTTTTAGAGGCTGTAAACACGGAAATACTTTATTATCTATAGTATGTGCAGCCTCCATTTTTTCCCCCAGTGTTTGTAACATCTGTCGACACTTGGACACATGTTGGACTTGTTGAGTCCACGTTTTTACACTTTTGTAAAATAAATAATCAAATAAATGTTGTTTTTTCCCCCCTGATTTCTATCATTTTGTGTCATACTGAAAGAAGACATTTCTGAGTTCTCTCTCCTTCTTCATGGTTGTTCTGCTTCCACAGAGTTGCAGGACTTTATATTGCAGTGGAAACTGAGCCACAGTGAGGAAAAATTAGACAAACCGCTGAGAGCTTGGAGGGTTAGGGACGGATCAGTAAACCATCTGAATTGTGACACTCTGAAAATGCATTTGGTTTTTTTGTCCACAACAATAAAATCACCGTTACGTTGGAATGTTGTAAGTGTTGCAGGAGCTCTGGAAGCAGAGCATCACTGCACAAGAAGACACTTCAAGTGAAATGGAGATTAAATTTAAATCAGTTTTGAATTTTACAGAAGCAGACTCTGAACTTTTTGATCACACCTCGTATTTGAAGACTTGATCGATATCAGATCAATAAATTGCTAAATGATTCATTTAACAATGCTCGAAAGTGAGAAAATGGCGGCGCTGAAAGTCTATTTTTAGATCAATGCAGCGTGTTTCTGTTCAAATGCTTTACCAAAGTGAAAGCAGCACAAAATGAAATTAATATTAAAGTGATGTAACCTAAGTTCCAGTATTATCACTTATGCATAATCATGAAGGTGAGACTTTAACATTATGAGATGTGACTTGAATAGTTTATACATATTCGTATATTTTTTTTACTATTGAGAAACAAACCTGTCAGATGTGTTTGAGGTCAGCTGATTGATAATCAATAAGATTTCACAGCAGCTGTGGTTGTAGAAAAACTTAAGACCAATCAGGATTGTTGATCAGTCAGCTTGTTGATTAGTTACCTGCTTGTCAGCTGATAACGTCACCAAGGTAACGATGACGTCATCAGCTATGAGCAGGTAAATGCAGGTGAGTGAGCTCCTGAACCTGATCTCAGCTGAACCTCCTGCCAGTCTGCAGCTCTGAGGCCAACAGGGGTCAGAGGTCATCGGAGGGGGCGGAGTCTGAGAAGAGGTCGGGGTCAGGTGGTATAGCGAGTGAAGGCGGTCCAACTACTCGTCGTCATCATCGTCACCTTCGTCCTCGGCGTCTCTCTTCCTCTTCTCCCCTCGAACAGCTGTTCCGTCCTCATCTGACAAAACCACAAATTAACAGTTAGATACTTCAAATATTTCACATGAAACAGATTCACAAACACAATGACACATAAATGAGTCGATAAGCAGTTATAAATAATAGGATAAAAACAAAAGGCTGACTAGAGAAAAAATACTGACACCAAAGATTGCTCTGTAATAAAAGAACAAAGTCCGAATATTATGAACAACTGTTCATGAAAAAATTCGGACATTTTGAAATAAATTTGATCTACTTCTATATGTGTAATTTTTTTTAGTTAAAATAAAAATAATAATCTGAATATTTTGAGAGTACAGTCTAACAACGGTCACATAATTTCAAGAAAAATACAATTATTTCAAGAATAAAGTAGTAATGTGTCAATAAAACACTGTACATTTACATTAAACAGTTTATCAAGTTCTACATGTGTAATAATGATTAACAAAGTACTGCTGCTCTGTGAGGAAGAACGATTTAAGCTTAAAGTTAAGAAACAATTTTTTTTATTATTTTAAGAAAAACTGCTGCAAAAAATTTAGTGTTTTGTGAGAATGAATGAAGAATAAAGCGGATAAACGCCGAGTGTTCTGCTCTTAGGAGAAACACTTGTTTAAACAAGTAGAACCTCCTCATGTTGTGTTTCTGAACAAAATGTTTCCTTTCATGACAAACCTCCATCCTCCTCTTCCTCCTCTTCGTCCTCCTCCTCTTCCACATAGTCGCCGTCGTCCTCTTCGTCCTGAAAGGAGGAAATACCATCAGGAAACTGTAAGCTGGATGAAGAGCGCCGCCCAGAGGTCACCAGTGGAACAACAACATGCAGACTCACCTGGATTCCCTCCTTCATCAGGTACGACAGGCCGACCTCATCCTCGTCTCCGTCGGAGCCCTCCTCGTCGTCCTCCTCATCGTCCTCGTCGTCATCAAGGTCTCCATGTGGACCGCCTTCATCGTCATCGTCTGGAACCAAACATCAAAATGTTTTACTGTAAATTTATCTCCTGTAGGATCCACTTTGTATTCCAGTACATTCATCCATCCATTAGAACTTGTGTGTCTAGAATCATCCATCCATCCATTATCTATACACCACTTAATCCTCA